CTGCTGAAGTAGGGAACAAAGCTTCATTATTATTATTGCTGTGATCGACCAGGGCTCTGCCATATCTCTTCCAGTGGTTTGGAACAATCTCCTTATTATGCTCACTCGACTGGACGTGTAGATTTTGCACACCTGCGCTCATCCACTCAGCCAACGGCTCCAGGCAGCAAATTAGGGAAATGTTGGGTTTGAGCTCTTTCAAAGACTCAAGTTGGGAAAATAGGGCAGTGCAGAACAGCACCGTATCATTTTGACTTCCGTTTCAAAGGGTCAGTGTGTTTCATTTCACTGTTTCGAAGCACGATTCCATTTCATTTAGTCAAAACTGTTTTACTGTTTCAACACTGTTTCGATGCGTTTTGATGTTTCGCCCATAGGCTATATAATGGGTTTCAAGTGCCCTCGTTTTGTTCTGAAGCTGTTTTGAAGCCTTTTGTTTCACTTCAATTTTGCTTTTTTGAGCTTGATACGTGTCGAAACAGTTTTGAAACGAAACACCCACCGAAATTTCGCACAGCCCTAGAAACCATTGTGTGAAATGTGTGGCGGGAAATCTTGTTAACAGTGCCTTCAGGAAGAGTGGAAGAAGACAGTTTACACCAGTTTCTAAGCACGTATGTATTTTTAACTATTTCATGATTTACCTTCTAGCTCACATAAGAATGTCACAATTTCTGGTAGTAGTAAACAAAAATCCCGTGGATAAATTTTCAATTTTAGACCGTTTTTTTCTGTTAATATCCTAACAAGGCATATCTTCCCCAGCAACCTTGATCAACAGCATGGGGCCTCTGTTTATTTTGATAACAGCTCCGCTCACATCTGCTCTTAGAGAACAACCATCTTCTCTCCAAGCCATGTTTAAAAGATGGCAGCAAAAGTAGTACAAACACAAGACTGAGCAGCATAGTCAGAGTAAGGAAGAGAGACCGCAGTTTAAAACAAAATTTCTTTTATTGTCTTTAATCAAAGAGTATAGTACAGAGGAACTACACAAAGGCTTCATTCATATAAAAAACGAGCCCTTTATTTACACAGGTGTTCAGAGTTACCATTTGGTAGCTAATCTCAACATTTTTCTTTTTCTTTTTTTATTTTGTTAGTGATTCCCACCTAGTTAGAAGCAAGAGTTGGTCAGTAATACTTAGAAAAAGCATATTTAATGTGCTTCTTGGTAGGAAAGAAAAAAGAACACCTTCTAAAAACCAACATGAAACTTTTCATTGTAACAAATCCACCAAAATACTTACAACCAAATACTGACAAAAGGAACTGTATTTTCTGAATAAGTTTAATGTTCTGATCATTCTCAGCCTTTCTTATTCCCCTACCTGATAAAAAATACCCTGGATGAGCGTAAACTTGATGCATGAAGAAAAATGTAAAAATGCATTTAAAAGTAATTGTGCTTTTTATTTTTTTTTAAAAATTTACAATCAGACACTGTCCTGCTGTGTTTTGGAAAGCACGGTTCCCTTAAAAGAAGACGACAAGCTTAGCTTATTATTATTATCATTATTATTATTACTTTGTCATTATATTAATAATATTAATTTTATGTTTACTATTTAAATCATAGTGCTTCCCCTATCTTTCTCTGTGGTACATGGTATATAGAAAAAAAGTTTTCCAATGACCAAAAGTATTCCATTATAACTAATAATAATAATGATAATTGAACATATAAACTTTTGTGTGTAAAATATGGCTGGCTCTAAAACAAACTATCAATGTACAACCTGTTCCCCTGCCCCTTCCCCGAGTCATCCTAGAGACATTTAGATGATGGAAGACTCTCATCACAGAAGCTCTCTAAGGAAAAAAAACAGAAACAACACAGAACCCTTGAATTGTTGTCTTTGGTGTGAAGGACATTAATCATGAATAGCTAGAGCTGCTCTGCTGAAGAATCTGTGGTTGCATAAGGCTTGTCACTTAGACCATAAAAGGAGCCCCAGTTAGGCCAAGGGTCAACTGACGCTTTGGTAAAATTACCAGCCCCTCGCACCCTCCCACCAATTATTCCAGGAAGACCCTCCCAAACCCTCCCCCAACCTCTCCACCATGCCTGGGTTTTATGCTCGCTTTCGTCTTCCTTCTAGGTTCCGGAAGCTGGAGGGTCTCAACTTCATTTCTGCAAACTCAATGGAATATTCATGGCCCTTCCAATGGAACCAGTTAATACCCTGCAAAAACACAAGTGTGGCATGACACCATGTTGGTAAAGTAGTAATATTTAGCATCCTGTTTTCAAAACAATCACTATCACGGGCTTTACAAAGGCTTTTTGCCACTATAGCACCCTGACAGTTCAAGCAGTGTCACATGAGCTCTTTCATGACTGCTGCTCTTTTACTGTTTCTTCTTAAGTGTTAGTCCACATCAGGCTCTTTCTTTTGGGAAGGGGCAGAGGGAGGGCAGTAGAATCCATTCTTGAATGGATAAAAGCTCTCCCCCATATAAACGTTCATGTGAACTCCCACAGAAAGGTGATACAAAAAGAAGAAGGTATGGAGTTTTTTGGATCGAATTGCAATTTTCATTTTGTGAATGTTAGTTAGTAATATCCCCCCCTGTGAGTCATTCAGTTTTAATTATGAGTTTTTTTCTGGATGCCTCTGAGGTCTTGCATAGTGGCCAATGAAAGAGTTTGGATTACAGAATGGAGGAAGGATGTGATGGGCTGATTTGCCAACAGTCGGATGCCTCCTGGAATACTTATCTTGGATTGCTTGCAAATGGCAAACTCACCTGACTGTGACTGTTGTCACCATATCTGCCCATCAGATTGACCCGGTGGCAGTTCTTGTACCAGAAAGCACCCTTGTATGACAAAGCACAATTAGTGATGGCAAAGTCATTGTCCTTGTCATAGGTAGAGAAGGACCGTCCATTGTGATATGTCATGGAGTCACCTATGCAGGAAAAAGAGGGAACAGTGTCAAGTTATGGGAAAACTTACCTTGTAGCTGCTTATTTTCACCCTGAATGAAGTAATTAAAGTTGGAGTAGTTTTACTACACTTGTAACTCCTACAAAGTGATGCAGATGGAACCCTTGCATTGCAACAGTTTGTATCGGTATTATTTGATATCCATAAGGCTATGTCTGTCAGTTCTCTTACATGTTCATGTGGACTGGGCCGGAACCACATGTTTTATTCTGATATGATTGCAAGAGCTAGTTGAAGTCTTTAACAATATTGTAAAGCATGTTATAGCAAGGATTGGTAATATATTCTTAACAGATGGTAGCATGACAGGTTGTTTTAAACCTTATAAATGACAGCCAAACATTACCGAAATGAGATATATGTCTGTTTAATATGTTCATTTACATTCTGTCCTCAGCATGCTATAAAAATGGGTATATAAATGAATGAAGAATTTAAAATAGAATCATAAAAGAAAGTGACACACTCAACTTTTCATATCCCTAACACAATTCTTCCCTTTGATGACAATGATCTCTATCATTGACATATAGAATGTGTTGTTCTGAGAGAACTGGAATGAAATTGTCACCCAGTGACTATCTGAGGAAATATAAAGCTCATTTTGATTTGGATAAAAAAATCAATGTTTCAGCCCACCTGCCGTGCCAGTGTATCCATCCACTTTTAGCCGATATCGGGTCTTGGAGTCTCCAACGCTAAACTTGTCATAGATAGCAAAAGCTGTCTCGCCCTTGTCTCGCAGATCCACACGCAGTTCATACTGGCCCTGAGAGGTGATTTTGTGGAGATTCTCCAGGCCTGAAGTAAGGAAGTGAGGAATAAAGAACAACTATATTGTCTCTGTTGAAAACTTATGTCATCACGTTCTGTCATAAAAGCTAAAAGTAATACTAATACTCTATAAATACATCAAAAGCATAAACAGCAGAAAGGGAAAAGAGCTATTTAAGTGAAAAGAGTATGTGGGCACAGAAACAAATGTACGTACACCGCCCATGAACAAATTTAGGCTAGAAACTGGAAGCAGGCTTCCACCTAGCAGAGGAATACGGTTCTGGAACAGCCTTACAATAGGAGTAGAGAGGGCAAAATTCTAGTTTTAAGATGAAACGTGATAAATTTATGAATGCAATTATATGATATAAATGCCTCCAGTAGCAGGGAACTGGACTTAATGACCCTGGAGGTCCTTTCTAGACTTCTCTTCCCTTATTTTATTCCATATTGCATCATCGCTGCTATAAGCCTCTTTGCAGTGGAGAACAAAATATTGTTGTTTAGCCAATGGAATCATGAGCATACACCCTTAACTGTGAATCAGGCATACTCCTTTTTTTCAGAAACCTCTTGACCCTTGCTTACCGATCCAGAACTCGTCCTTGGGATCACCAAAGCCAGCACTGTATGTCCTCCAATTCCTGTAGAAATCCTCTTTTCCATTACGGCGCCTCAGGAACACCTAAAATCCCAACATGCAAGTAGTTTTACTTCTGACAGATTTTAACACATGCTGTAATACAATGGGGCTTAGCTCTGCTTGGTGCCCTGAGCACAAGACATCAAGGAAACATGTATATACTGGTCCATCCCACTATATACTCACAATCCATCCACCTCCATCAGAGCCCATGTCACAGTACACCTCCAGTGGCTGAGACTTCTCTCCATTCAGATAAATGGTGTAGAGTCCAGAGGCAGTTTCTCCATTCAATAGAGCTTGAGAGCAGTCTTTAGGGAAAGGATAGAGAAGTCCACCTGCAAGTAAAGGAAGAAAGCTGAGAAGAGCTCTTGAGGAAATATTTATTATACGTAAGCAAATTAAGATAACTTGCCCAAGGTCTTGCAGCGAGCCAAGGGCACAAACAGCCGTAAGAGGTTCCTATCCTAATCACTAGAAAATCCATGATACAAAAGCTATATACAAAACTACTGATAATTTGTGTTTCATGAATAATTTAGGGACACGCTTTTTAAAGGCAGGATTCTACAGTTTTTGAAAGTGCAACTAATGCATTTATCTACCTACCTATCTGTTATATAAACACAACGTTTAAGTGACTTCAGTTGTATCCGAAACATCTGCAGGGCAAAAGCGCACCTATAATCATTTGCTACGTTGGAGTAGGTGTGAAAGTGAAGGCAAAAGCTAGTCAAGACAAAAAACCCCCAGTACTTCTCCAATAACAAATGGAATGCAAGATATATTATAAAACATGGTATATCAAAAACGTTAAAAACCTGCATTTCCTTTGGACTATAACTTACTATAATCGGCACATGTATAGGCAATAGAATTTCTTTTAAAAAACCCATAAAAAACCATGAATCCCACATATGTTAATTACTGGGTATCTTCTCTGGATCTATGAAGTGATGGAAAATACTAATGATCATAGCATATTCCATGGAAATATCTGCAACAAGTTTAATTGAGTGTTTGATGTTCTAGATAGGTGAGTTTCCATTTTTTGTAAGCAACAAGGCCATCTGTAGGTCATGTTTCCTACCCTGTGCCCCATCCACAAAGAATGATAACTCATCGCCGTTTCACCTTTAAGATGTAAACATGCAATTGAGAAGAAGAAACTTTTGCAGAGCAGTACTTACGTGCTCACTTCCCACTGAAGCCAGTAGAATTCATACACGTGCTTAAAATTAAGCTGAAATTATGGAGACTCATGTTTTACCTTTAGAATTCAATCCTTGGTTGTAACCAAGCTGGCAAGCATCACTTAAACACACAAGGATCCAATTCTGATCTCAATTGTTGGTGGACCTCTATTAACTTTAGTGGAGTTACTCTTACTTTGCCACAGAGGTGACTGTGAGCAGAACCAGGACTATGTGCCTTTTATAAGCCCTTGACCTAATTTCAGTACATGTGTACCCAGAATTTGAATATCTGAATATTTGCAAATCTGCATTCGGAAGACCAAAAAGAGAAAAGAATGACAAGCAGAATTTCATAGCAGTTTAAATCCTAAGCAACGCCATTTTATTTTCATTGCCCCAAGAAAAAATGTCATTCAGAGAACTAACTACCAACTGTGGCAATTTCGATGTGACCTCCTGCAGACCCAATTCATTATACCCTTTCCGACTAGAATCAGAAAGAGCACCCAAGAGTAGCAAGGAGAAACTTGATTTCAGCGGGAAGGAGGGAGGAAACTTAGTTCAGGAATTACACTGTGAGGCCTTTGGGACAAAAAATATTTGGTTCGTTTACATTTTAAAAGTTGGCTTGTTTTACCATGTTTTATTTGAAAAAAAAAATGTACATGTTGAGTGGAAATATTAACAAAAAATGTCCTGTTAATGCTTATACAAGAAAACTGATTTTTTTTTCATCAGAATTGTCATTCATGCTCCATATACATGAAGGGTGGCAGGGCTTATTAGCTGAATTTCATCCTTCCTGTTAAGGGCTAGAAAAAGGATTGTTGCCTAGCATGGAACACAACTTTCTCTGGCCCTCTGTTCTATGATTGGATAGCATGGCTTTTAGCATGCGGTGGGCATGTCTACACAAGACGTTTGCTGCAGAGCTGACTAATTAGCTCCACAGTGAAGTCTCAGCATCTATACATGTGGTTCTATTAAGCCACAGTAAACTAATAAATGCCTCTGTGGGATAGTACTTGTAAACACAAGTACTATCCTGTGGCAGGGTTATTTAGTGTGCTGCAACACACGTATAGACTCTGACGGGACTGGCTGGGGCATGAGGGTGTTTCCATGGAGGGGGCTATCTGCTGATTAGACCTTCACTGGAGCTCCCTTGTGCCCCAGCCAGGCGCTCTGCAGCATGTTGAGCCAGTCCGGAGCAACCCTGGGCTGGCAGGCTGACCCCCTGGGCCCCCTGCCAGCCAGGGCTTCTCCAACCTAGCTCAACATGCTGCAGTCCTGGGTGCACATGTAAATGTGGTGCCCAGGAGCAATAACTCTTGTGCAAACTGCACCAGAGTTTATTCAGGTTCATTAATTTCACGTGTAGACATGCTCTGTAAGTAGAATTCAGAGGGAATTGTGTTTGCTTCCTCCAGATCTTAACTTGATGAACGTTTTCAGAACTTTCCAGTGAAAAAGACACAAAGACAACATTTGTAACCAAGTCTCTCCCACACATCAAGGACCTTACTTGTCGTGAAAACAGTCTGGATGATGTTGCTCTTCAGGGATCTATGCAGTGCCCTCAGTTTCACTGTGTACTGAGTGGATGGGCTCAGCTCAGTCAAATCATAGGAAGTTGTCTCAGGTACCAGGATGACTTCCTATAGAGAGAATAAATGAGAAAGAGAAATCTCCAGTTAGAAATCTTATAGGCTGAAACTATTGCATATTTAAGGTGTTAATTTTTTAAATTTATTTCATTGATGCTTTATAAAATCATTGAAGTGATTTATTACAAAATGTTTACTCCCAAAAGCTTTTTCCCCTGTTAACTTCTATTAGAAGTGTGAGAGAAGTTGTCCAGAAATGAATGTTTAATATCATCATGTTTAACTTGTGTAGCTTAACAACAAATCATGGTAAAAGTCTTTTAGAGTATGTCTTTAGACAGCATTGATTGAAATTTTGAACTGTGATCAGCAATTTTGGTTACCCACTCTGAAATAACTCGAAGGGACCAGGTTTTCAAACAAATTGCTGAGCAGTCACCCCTTCAGAATTAGGCCTCCTCAACGAATCTCAAGAGGGCACTCAAAATCACTAATCGGTTTGAAATATGAAGGCCTAACACTTCTATGCCATAGACTTTGAATGGAAGAAAGTAGAGAGTTGTGTGTTATTTTTTGTTTTGCAGAGTGCTGGTATTCATAGCACAGTTTAGACTGCAGCTAAATCACCATTATAATCTGCAATTCAGGAAGACTCTTAAACTTGTATTTAAATCCATCTCTGTTTGGGCTAGCACTTGAAACACACACTTATGTCCCATTCCCTGGCACATTTTGAGCACATCTACTGCCAACATCCCAATGGCAGACTTCCTGGTTTATATCCAAGTTCTGTACCTTGACTTTGCCATCAGCAGACTCGTAGATTAGGAGATAGCCAGTGAGAGAAGCACGAGGAGGCCTCCATGTCAATACTGCCGTTTCTGATTGAATATCAATAGCGCGTAGATCTCTTGGAGCATCCATCCCTGAAAGAGACAAGAATCAGGCAATTAGCCGTGTTAGTCTGAAGAGTTGAACCTTACAGACTTAACTAATTCACTGATGCATAAACTGTCATAAGCAGCAACTCACTTCAGTGGATATTAAATAAATAAATAGCATCTGATGAAGGAAACTGTTGCTTATGAATGTTTCTGCCTCTCTGAATTAGTTAGTTTATAAGGTGCAACTTCACCCTGCCTCCTGAAAGAACTGTGACAGAGTTACAGCCACATCCAAGGCATGTCTACATGTGCATTTATGCCAGCTTAAATTTACTGCACAGTATATTACTGCGCAGTAAGCAGGAATAGACTGGCATGTAAAGTATACACATACCTTTTTGTCCCACCATATGCCAGAGATTTGTTGCTTGGGAGCAAGCTCGATTAATTGCACGTGAGCTAATGTGAACAGTGCTGCTCCATGTTCAGTTGTATAAATGGTGAAATGAGTGTCAGAGCACAAAAAGTGGCAGTGGTGCGATTTTGAACTAAAACACCTCCGATGTGTTAATTCAAAAGTGCACTCCTGCCATTTTCTCAGCACTGTAAGATGTCTACATGTGTGTCACTGTGCAGGAACTAATTGGGCGTTAATGATGCAGGTATCAAATTTACACTCAAGTTGGCATAAGTCACCATATTTACTGCGCAGTACAGGCGTGCACCCATACTGTGCAGTAATTTCACTTACTGTGTAGTAAATGCACACATGTAGACATGCCTCCAAAAAAGCACATCATAGAAGCCATCCTGCAGGCACAGAAATGTGTATTAGTCAGGTATAAAAACCAAAACTTTTCCAACAAAATGTTTCAAACAAAAAATAATCAAATTCTGTGTCTAGTTTAAGAAAAAAAAAGAAAGAAATGTATTTTGTTTCTGCTTAAAATGGTAGTTCCATTTGGCATTTTGATTTAAAAGTTTTAATTGGAATGTCAATTTAAAGCAAAAATATTCCTTAATAGTTCACATAGGAAAACTGAAATTTTGTCTTCAGAATGGACATTTTCCTATAAAAAGAAACTTGGTTCCAACAAAACCATATTTTTAGCAGGAAATGAGTTATTGAAATCCTGGCCCATTTCCTACCCCCCAACCTCCTTAAGGGTTAAAAAAAAAAGACTATTTAGGAAGAATGTTAGGCCTCATTAGAGAAGGATGACTATATTGTTAAAATATGACTAGGACTCATGAGCTATGGATTCAGGTCTAAACTCTGCAATAAACTTTCATGAGTAAGCAAACTAATTTTTTTGTACCTCAGTATCTCTTAACTGAAATGAAAATATTTCCTTACCTTACAGGGATTTGTGTATGGATAATTTAATTCATTAGCATAATGAGGCATAATTTAGAAACTACTGTGGTAGAATCCACAAATATAGATCCTAATGGTCTGAAGAAACTGGGTGGTAGGATCTTACTCTAATGCCCTACTTACTAGATTGTGGGAAATCAGTTGTAGAACTGTGATCTGAGAGGCTAGTCAACTGAACAATTTACACTACTTCTGGGCTGATCTGTGAGACAACAGACTGCAAATACTATTCTACTTTAGATTTTTGAGTTAAAAAGTAGAGCAAGTACAGTGCTTGATTGCTGATAGCCTAAGAAACATAGCCTTATATAGCACTACATGAGGCTATAAAGCTGGGGGAAAAGACAATGTGGTACCTGTAGTAAATTTGGTGGATATAGTTGCACTCTGCTGACCATCCTCTACAGCATGGAGCCTCAGTACATACTCAGTTGCAGGTCGAAGGCCATTAAGGTCATATTCCACAGTGTTCCCAGACACCATCTGCTTCACTTCTGGCTCTAAACAGCAAAACACACCGAAATGGGAAGAGATAACTTGTACTGTTTATGGGCAGCTCAAAGTCAATGCAACCCTTCAGCATGATGTGAACTTCACAAAATAGACTTAACACCTGTGATCAGTTTAATTTATCACTGTCTGTGGAATGTGGGAATGAGGCTGAAAGAAGCAGAAGTATTGAGCTCATTGGAATCGGTGCATCAACCTGCACCAAGACTAAACTTGGGTTGCTGCGGTCTCCATGATCATTTCTGTACAAAAAGTATTTGCACATCCTTAGGCACATGATGAAGATACTAAGAGGGCCTGTTTCTTTCCAAAGTGACCACAGATATAATTTCTTGACTGCTCATCATCTGGAACAGGCACTGACAACTAAAGTGGGAATATTTTAAAATAAGTCAAAGTGTTACATCTAGGGAGAAAGAATCACCAACACACCTACAGGAGGTGACTTTCTAAGCAGCACAGCAGCAGAAAGGGATCTCAGAGTTATAGTTGACTCCAAAGTGAACATGAGTCGTCAATGTGACGAAGTGATAAGTAAAGGAAATGATCAGTAAAGATAACCGCACCTTATCATGCATTGGAAGGTGCATCACAAACAGGTCTAAGTAGGTGATGCTTCCCCTCTATGTGACATTGGTAAGATTGCAGTTGGAGTAGTGCGTCCAGTGCTGGGTACCGCACTTCAAGAGGGATGTGGATAACCTTGAGAGAGTTCAGAGGAGGGCTACTTCAGAGTAGGGCTACTCGTATGGTTAAGGGTCTACAGGTTAGATCCTATGAGGAGAAACTGAGGGACCTGAATCTCTTCAGCCTCTGCAATAGGAGGCTGAGAGGGGATCTTGTAGCTGTCTACAAATTTGCTGGGGGGGAGGGCAGCAAGAAATAGGGGATACTCTGTTAGCAGGGTGCAGCTTGGGGTTACTAGGAACAACGGTGATAACGTGACGGAGAGCAGATTTAGTTTAGACATTAGGAAAAATTTCTTTACAGTGAGGGTTGCCAAAATCTGGAATGGCCTTCCAAGGAAGGTAGTGCTCTTCCCTATCTTGGAGGTCTTTAAGAGGAGACTAGACAAGCACCTAGCTGGGGTCATCTGACACCAGCGCTCTTTCCTGCCCAGGGCAGGCGGTCGGACTCGATCTGCTAAGGTCCCCTCCGACCCTAAAAATCTGTGAAATCTATGAAGTCTAATGTGCATTTACAATTCAAAATAAAACTCTCCCCTGTCTTCCGTTAGCATGGGTGCTGAGTACATGGGGATCCGGAGGCCCTAGCCCCCTTGGGAAGAAGGCTGTCACTTGGAATGCATAAAACTTTCCACATGTCCCTCATCTTACCCTCCCCCCTGCCACCCTGGGCAAAAATAAAAGTTGATGCCTGAGCCTGCTGGGTTTCTGTTACTGAATCCATTCTGGATCTTCTCTCAGTGGCTGTGGACTTATCAACTCAGAGAACCACCTCTGATTGCACTTACCCGTCTCGGAAATATAGGAGATGACATAATTGTCCACAGCAGCAATTGCTGGCTGCCAGGTTGCTAAGGCCTCAGAATCTGTGATATTCACCACCACTAGGCCAGATGGGCTGTCCAGAGCTGAAGGGGAAGATAATATTGAGGGGATTAAAGAAATACATTAAAAGCCTCTTTGTTACATGCAATATAGTGGGCTGAGCCCATAATCGAAACCGTGCACAAACTGCTGCTTGATCTAGTTGATCGGATCCCCTTTGGAACGCTTGGGCTCTATAGGAAAGACGTCACCTTATGAAAAACGTCAACAAATGCCACTGGTGCAAAGCAAGGTCATTGCAAGAGAGAATTAAACCAATCCCAAGAGGCATACTCTGATAACTAGTTATATTCATGTTCTCAATCCAAAAGCTCTCAGATACAGTCTTGACATCATCAGTCTTGAGGCTTTTATCAGAGCTGACATATTACTGTCAGCACTCTCCATTTCAAGCAGTTTCTTGGAGGAAACTCAGACTCCTAAGTCTGGGATAAGAAATGATGTCTGTCCACAGCCATGGTGACCTATTGATTCACTCAGCATTTTTTTAGTTGCATACCCTGCTTTTCTTTTCTTGTTTCCTCTTTTTTTTTCTTGTTTTTTCCCCTTGTAGAGACCCTGCCTTTCCCTTCATTTCATGCCTCTCTTTTGAGAACCTGCATTGGTTGCTCTATTAGAGCAGAAAGGGGACATCAAGTACATCTTCCTCTCTCATGTTGAGTACATTGAACCCTCAGCTGTGGTTCTGAGCTCCTAGTGGTCTAGGAAACAGGTGAACCAGTATACTACAGTATAGGTTCTCGAGCACCACCAGGCATGCAAGATTCTGTAGTTTCTGTGATCTTAGGTATCCTTTCATCTCTAATTTCTGAGCCATCTGTATGACTACCTGAAAAAGATGAAGTTGAGTCTTCTTTCTCTTTGGTATTACCTGTTTTCAGAGGTCCAGAGACAGGTTCACTTTCTTCAAATCCTTTGACAGAGGTGATGTTGACAACATATTCTACACCAGGGACCAGTTTCACCAACTTGGTCCTAGTCTTGGTTCCATCTACTGTCACAATATTAGGAGTACCTAAGATCAAATGAAATGGTGAAGGAATGGTGAGATGACATCCCAACTAGTGTTTAGGCTTGCCCTTCCATGTTCCAAACAAATATGATCTTTTCCAGCATGAAAATGGGTTTTTCCTATGAAGTTGAATTTTCCTCTAGGTTAAAAGCACTAACATAATGGTACTGCCTGGGTGTAGACCAGGGAAAATTTAGCATCTGAGGGTAAATGAAGATAATATAAATATAAATCAAATATGAATCAAAGAGACTGGGTTATTAATATGTATCCCTAGTAGTCAAATAAATGTAAAGAAAAATAAAATCTTACCCTGTAACATGGTATATTTTCATGTGTAAATTAGGCAGCTGTCATGTGCAGATAGAGATATTTGCATGTGCAGTTAAATATAGGTGAAAATCAAAGCCTTGTTGTAACTATAGACTTATTTTGTTTCTGGAAGGAGATGGAGAAAGGCCAGCTACCTACATCAAGCTTATTGTTGGCCCATCTATATGGTGATTCCTTTGGGAGATACCACAGCTACCAGCCATGAAATCTTACCTGGATAGACAGCAATTCGGGAAGTTTATTTCCCCCAAATTCTGGTGAATGTCTAATGAGACACATAAGGACATGTATAATTTAATGTTCCTAAGCATTCCTATTGAATTTAGTGGGACTCTTTAATGTGTGAAGTTATACACATGCTTAAATGGTATTCTGTCAGGGCATAAATCTTGGCCTGTCTTCCTTATGGTCAAGTGGCACTTCCAGCATGTTCCTGTTGCCTCTAGAACAGTTCTGCATGCTTTTTGCTAATCCTGAAACATTCCTTAGTTGTGCTAAAGTGCACCGCTCATCTAGGAAGTTGCTTTAAAATGACAGGTTCTTGTCTGTGAATTAAGTGCTAAGACTGAGTGGCGTTGTGTTGAGTGAAATGAAGTATCATTGGCAGAAATTCAACTGAGTTTCAACTAAATCGGGGTGATTTTGTTAAACTAATCTTAATCTTTAAAAGGAAGATCTTCCAAGATACTCAGCACACAGGGTGATGAGCTCTTGTGAGCACTGGTTTAGGAACCTAAACAGAAAAGGAGATCTTTGGTGAATCTGGTCTCAGATATGGGTTATGAGCATAAGGGAGTCCAGCTTTGAGATCTTTTCCAGATTTGACCCACGGTGTGCAGAACTTGTCATATGTACTGTAAGCCTATTCACCAAACTCACTTCAGTGCACTCCTAAGTTTCTGGCCAGCAGCTGGCTAGCACAATACAATGAACCTCTGTGACCCGAGGCCAGACAGCTACAGACTGGGGGTGTCTACATGAGATGCTTAACTGTGCATTTAGCATAGTTTGCTGCAAAGTAAGCATGTGTGTCTACATGTACACATGCTTACTACATAGAGCTGGTGCTGGGAGCTCCCTGGGGGACACAGGATCCTGTTCCCTGCCCACCTCTGCAGGGGATTGAGACACGGGGCTTTGAAAAAGCTGCAGGGGTGGGGTATGTCCCAATCCCCTACCGCAATCTGCCAGTGGGGCAGCTAGCAGCAAGTTAGCTGCTATATGCCTCACTGGCATTTCTGGGTAGGGGGCTGAGACCTGCTCCTCCCCTGCAGCTCTTTTCAAGTCCCCTACCCTTGATTGGGGAACCAGGGCCAGGAGATCCCTGCTGCTGGGCAGGGGAACATTGGACCCACCCCAGCAGCAGGCAGCTTCTGGGGGCCAGGAGACAGCTGTTTCCTGGCCCAGTGCTCCCTGCCAGCCCCTTAGCTAGCACCCAGGGGGAGCCTTGACCTCTCCCAAGTGGCAGCAGGGGCCCATTGCAGGACTGCAGGAAACGTGGTGCAAAGAACAGCAAATCTCTTCCCTAATCCCTACATGTGTAGGCACCTGCCCAAAAGCATTTACTCCAGAATAGTTTACACCAGAGTAAACTTAGGACAAATCAAATGCGTGTGTAGATGTGCCCACTGAGTAATCGACATCAGAATAATGCAATCACTTCATCTTGCTCACTTCTCTCTCACCAGTGTTTTCCATATTCTTGCATTCTCACCTCCAGTTTTGGGGGCATAGAGAATCCGGAAACTTTCTACTCGGGTTCTTGGAAGCATCCAGGTGACTGTAGCTGAGTTTTCAGTGATGTCAGTGAAATTGATTCCTTTGGGAGATCCCATGGCTACCAGCAGAGTAGGGAGAGCAGAGAAACACACCATAGAGAACACAGAAAAAGTTAGATCATGTATTTATCCATCCTTCTCACTGGAATAACATTGATCTCAAGCTTCTATCCCAGGTGAAAAAAGCTATAAATATTCAATCCACACAATGCTAGATCAAAAGATTCCATGCACTTATGATTTTTTATCACACACTTAAAACAATCTTCCTTTTGGTTTTGATTTTTTTTCAATAAAATTACAGCAGTGTTTAGCTTGGTAAAACAGCTGTTAACTATATATACGTAGGATCCTATAATACAGGGAAATACTGGAGACTTCGGTGGCTATGAAAAATTTACATTTATGGGACTATTTTTATTTATTTTTTAATTATAGAAACTCTGCTCTAGTCATAATCCAGATTCATTCAGATTATTTTAGGTTTTCATTTAATCTCCTGAGTCTCACTCATGCATCCTGAAATATATTTGTCCATAGTTGTCCTTAGGTTGGAAAAAGTCTGCTTTCAAGCTGCCAATGCTGTAATAGGGTGGATGACCACTAAGGTCTTGAAACTGGGGTCTGAGTGCATAAAAAGCCCTGTCCTGTGAGATGCTGGACATCCTAATGCCTGCTGACTGCAAAGGGAGCTGAGGTAGTAATTTTCAGGATCAAATCCTAAATGATATGCAGAATCCATAAAAATAAAACTAAAGCCTAACCCAAATAAAAGTTGGTGAAGGCGCAGTGTAAAGAGGGAACCCTTTGCACCAAAGAAAGGACTTCCAGCCTGCAGAGAGAAGGCAGCACAGTCCTACCTCTATCTCTTTGCAGTAGCAGGCAACAGGTTAGAGGTATCCAGTGGGACCATAGCTGTAAATGGACCTGCCCGGTGATATTCATAATGGACTATAGTATCATCACTGGCATGGCTATACTAATCTTATTAATATGTACTGCTAACTCTGCACCCTGATTACCAAAAAAATAAATAAAATAAAAAAGAAGGGATTCCCTCACTTTAGCCCCAAAGTAGGGCCCCTTACTTAAAGCCTCTTTAACTTGGTCTTTGCATATAAGATTAGGATTTTACCATAGGGAGAAAGACAGGAAAAATACTTTCCCTGGCTCTGAAGTGATGGAATATTTAGAGTCAGAGAACAAATGGTTTAGAGGGAGGTAGACAGGGAAGGAATTTATTTAATTTTCACTCCTACATCTAAAACTGTTTCTCTTGCTCTCTCCAAAGTGAGGGGTCTCACCAGGCAGAATTTAAAGTGATACAAATGAGCCATGTGCCTTGTGAAGGAATGGCAGCTCATGTCTGAGCAGCAAGCTCTTTGGGCAGAAGCTGTCTTGTTCTGTACAACAGTGAGCACATTGTTGGCACTTAATAAATAAGAATAACAACATAGGGTGGATTCATTGGTATGCTCCAGTAGCTTTGTGCCTCTCTGGAAATGCCAACCAGTTAAGCTGGATTTGTGTCTGATTTGCATTACCAGAGAACCAGCAGCCAGAGCATGCACAAAATATAGATCCATCTTTATTTTTGCATAGGTGGAGCCCGTGAGCTCATGGATTTATGAGGAGAGGTGGGATTGTGATGTTGTAATATTTTTGGGGGCACTGGTTTTAAGCAGTCTCTCTCTCTCACACACACACACACACACTTCTTGCCTTCCCAACACTGGCTCCTGATTTTGTATACACGATGCCTGGAATCAGACAGTGTTTAAATCTTGCTGCATGCACTACTTGAATAATTAGAGTAACTCATGGGTGTTTTTGAGATTCAGTCTGAAGGCGTATAACAGCATTTTGCCCCCAACTGAAAAATATTTCATCAAGCTGGAATTTAAGCTACTGTGATTTGAATGCGGAGGGGCCCCCAGCAGCACTGCGGGGAGAGACCTGGCGCTGGATAGTTTATATTCAGGCATTTCAGTCCTAATCTGCTTTTTGACTGTAACCAAAACATCTCTGATGAGTGTTAACAAAAAAAAATAGCCCACACAAGAGAAGTCCATTAGCAGAGGAGGGACAAATACCAAACACGAGCCACATTTAAATGATTGGTGGAGACATGCCAGTGTGTAGGGTGAAGAGAAAAAAGAAAGCTCTGAGTAAGACAGCTTGGAAAGATTGCAGGAAAGGAGTTGAGGAGGGTTGTATGTTCCAGGTATTCCAGGAGTTCCAGCGCCAGGAACGCTAAATCGGCTGAAGCAAAAGGAAAGGAAAGGAAAACAATCTAAGCTGCCCTGAGAACTGTAAATTATCTCCGCAGTTTTCTGTAGATATTGGTTCTAGAGGTGTGTTCAAAAGTAAGCACCCCCCCCGCTCAAAAAAAAAAAAAAAGAAAGCAAAAAGCAAAATAGGTTAATAAAGTTGCATCACATTCAGCTGCGGTTGCCAAGTTAGCCATGAAGTGACAATCTGAGGAAAATTAAACAATAATAAGAAATGCAACGGGGGATAAAGGAGAGTTTGGTGGCTTGAGCTTGTACTCACTTAGGATATCATGAAATAGGACTCATTATAATCCATCTTTAGCTACCTACTTTGGTGCTGCCAAATGCTTTTTTACCATCAAAGCCCAAATGTTCTTGAAGACTAATAACTAGTAAATCAAAAAGCTATTTAGCTTTCCTGTTGGCATTGACTGTCATTGTCAGGAATGGTATAACCTGCCGCCTGAGTTATTTAGTTGCATTTTTATGGGCCCGTATCTATTATCAATTATCCATGGGCTATTTATGGGTGTTTGTCTTTTGCACTATTGGCTTCAGTAGCTGACATGCCCCTAAATCTTTCTGAAAGGGCTGAATAAGAATGTAGTCATGAGGAAAATGATAACTGCCAGTGATTTACCATAAATATCCTGTGAGTCAGTGAAAATGGGGACACACTGCTAACAAGTACAGTTGACTTTAAACATTTCCCTGTTGTGAGTCAAACCTTTGGTCAGAAGAAAGGTTGTCTGTGATGGATAGACACTCTGCTTAGTGCAAATGTCTCAGAGACTACGTATATTCATTTGCTGTTTATTTAAGAGAGTGATTGTAATCAGTTGGGAGCTCATCAGAAATGTTCATTTTCCAGCTAAGAATTAGCACCATAATTGGTTAGGTGAATCATGGTGCCATACATCTCAGGAGATGCCTTTCAGTACTGATTTTATCATCAAAGCCTTTTAAGACATTGAATAAAGATAATCAGTACAAGTTTTGCAAATAAGTAACTTTTTTGTTTGCTTGTAGGACTGAACAAACAAACAAAAAAATCAAGCTGATTTGAAATTAATTTTTAATGTTTTCAGTAAACAGAATTTTTAAAAACTATTTGGGGTCAAACAGCATCATTCATTCACCCAAATAAAGAATTTGAATTCATTTTCAAGCATTTAATATTTTTCTTAAACAACAGTGACCTAGATTTCAAAATGTTTGGTTTCAAAATTGTTTGGAACTGGAAAAAACCCCCTAAATGCTTCATTGAAAAATGTCAAACTGAATGCTTCAGCTTTTGGGGGAGGTGCTCTGCTGTTTTTTGAACAACACAGGTTGGCAACTCTAGCACGAACTTGCAACATGTTTTATTTGACCACTGTTGGAAAAAAAAATTGCTACTCCCCTTCACGCCTCGGCATTTTTTTCAGGTGCGGACAGAAGTGTAGCCCTACTGGGAATCCTTTGCAGGAAGTGTACTGAGTTACAGTGGTCCCCAGGAACAAACAGAAGTTCACTGTTGGTTCCAGGGAGGAGGGGGATCTAGCTGCTGGCTGGGACCCTGCAGCGGGTTTCCCCTAGCAATGGCCATTGCTCCCTGCAAGGCTTCAAAGTTTTCAGAAAGGGAAAGGGAGCAGAGGGATCTCATTCTAGGGGTTCCCCAGCCAGCTGTGCAGGGTGAGGTGGGTGAATTGCCCCCCCCCCCAACCTCGGAGGGGCTGAGGCGGGGGCTCCAATACCCCGGCCCCACCCTCTAGCAGGGGCTGCGCGTCCCCTAGATTGAACTCCTCCTGCTCCCTTTCCTCCCCTCCCACTCTGAAAACAGCTTGAGGCTGGCAGGCAGTGCAGACAGAAGTTATAAAAGACTATTTTGAAACATCTTCATCTGACCCCTCGTAGCAATGAGGGGTCAGATTTTCACCCAATCAGTCATTTTTTAAGCAATCGACAGCTGTCCACTTGTGTTTGGTCACAGCTATAAACTGCTTTCTGTGGCCAGATCAGGCAACAATTGTCACTTTTGTCTGCGCCCTTAATGGCCCCCTCCTCCTCTCAACTGTAGTGGAAGGGTGGGGGGGTAGAGTGCTCTGAAAGTGGGATTTAGTTTTGGTAGAGATTTTTAGTGGTACGTAAGGGAGTTAGACACTCAAGAATAATGCAGTGGATTTACTGGAACCACAACATTACTGTGTATGTTGCCCTCTCTGGTGCCATTGAAGTTGGAAGAGCTTCACCCAGGTAAATCTGGTATAAGGCAGTGTGGAATTGGGCCATGGTTTCTTCTTTTAAAAGATAAATAACATTTGTAAACCCTTGCACTTGCTTTTTCCACTGAGGATGCTATTAGGTGGTAAATTCAGCTGAGTAGTCACTGATACCAGAGTGTTCTGCACACTGGTAATACCTATGTCCCATGTATCCTCCATGTGAAAACTACAAAGCATTTCACATATATTAAAAGCTTAATTCTGCCAGAGACTAGGGACTTCTGTGTCATGTTGAGCATCTTCAGCTGAAGGTTGACAGTGCTTAGTATCTTGCAGATCAAGACCTAATTGATTAGTCTCTCAACACCCTTGGGCCTTTGGTGAGCTTTATTAGCCTTTTTTTATATGTTGGCAAGCTGACGTAGGATAGAGATATGCGACTGTAGACTGTCCTAAAGTCAACAGGGAGGTTAATGGGAATGACCAGCAAGAGAGAAAACACTTTCTGCTCCTGAAATCTGTGCTGATCCCTGGACTCTGTTGTCTTACCTTCAGGTAACAAGTATGAAATAAAGCACTCAGTCTTTTATGACATAATGAAGACAGTCAGGCAGAAGAAGGTGAGAAAGTTCCATCAGATTAGGCACATGGCAAAGAACCACAAAATGTGCGTTAGGAATGTGGGCAAGAGACAGTTTGTGAAATTCAGCAGACAACTTGGATAAGAGATGGAGAGAAATTAGAGAGAGTTATGCGCATGATGTTTTCCCCCTCCATTGCAGGAACAATACCTGTGATAGCTATTGCATTTATGGGTTGGGAACGTCGTCCACTGATAATTCCATAGAGTTCAATTTCATACTCAGTACCCTCTTTCAGCCCTGTTATATCTTGGGTGCGTTCATGACCTGGTACTATACGTTCCCATGGATCAGACTGCTTTTTGGTATCCCTGATTTTAATAAAAAAGCTGTCGAAAACCCCATCATCTGCAGTCCAGGAAAGACGGAAGCCATCTGGGGTAATATCTGAAACCAGAATGTTGTCGACCTCAGGTTCTGCTTCTAAAAAAGGAGAAAATAGCAGTAGGGAAAAGAAATGATTGATCATATATACATATTTTTTTACCAGTTCATAGTGACCTGCCTTAGGTCAGGTTACAGCGTGCTACAAGAATCCAGCCACAGTTCAAAGAAATGGAAACAGTTAGCTTGGTATTAAAAGGAGGGGGGGAAAAAGCCCAAGAAGGGTTGATTCTTTAGAGTGATACATGTATAGTACAAGATGTATGATAATGTGTATGTGGGCATGTGCAAACTTTCAATATCCAACAATGGAACCATTATCTGGACATATAGGATATGCCCCTGTTGTGCATTAATAAACATGCTGATATTTAGTTGTTCTCTATCTTCCACTAGAGTTATACATCCCTTGTGAGACCTTTATTAAAAAAAAAAGACCCATCATTAATAATTTACAGCAGTGTCTACAATACTGCTTGCTTCTCCAATTTGATAGGGAAGAAAAGCCTTATAGAGAAGCCACTGAAGAGATTCCTTCTGTTATGCCAAACACTTTTTGCACATGGTGCTAGCCTTCCTGATGTTTCTGATCAAAGCTGAATTAGAATATCCACTTCTCCTTTGAAATAAATGAAGAATATTGAAGACCCATATCCTCTAAGCTGTACCCTTATGTCCAAAAAAAAGTATTTCTAGAATCTTTAGTGTCATCTTTGGAGATAGAAAAGGAAGGGAAATATTGCTGGTCTATATTTCATTGACTGTTTTTAACCATGTTACATCAAACCATTTGACTTCTGTGAGTCATGCTACTTAACCCAAATATAGGTCTGCACTAATTATTTTCTTTATCTCCCTCATAATATGCTCCCGGGTTCACTAGCTGCAGCAGTCTTGTCTTAAATTTTACTATCATCATCAGCAAACATTCTAGTACCTCCAATGTACTTGCCTTTTCCACAGTGAGAGGTGCACATTTATATTCATGCCAACATTCAGGTGAATAACAAGCTTTGGTGATATATGGAGTCAGAAAACTCATTGGATGGAATTTGATGGAGGGTACAGGTTGAACTAGAGAGGCAGTCAGGTAACAGTACTTTTCAAGAAAGCCTAGATGCAGCTGAAGAAGCTCAGCTATGATGAGTATGAGAGAATGGGCAATCATATGCTGAGAGGAACACCAACTCTGCTAGTTGTAACGATCATTCTTGATTTTTTTTCTTAGTCAATCTGCATACAGAATGAAAGGAAGGAGCTTATGGGCAGGAAGTTCATAATAACTTTCTTCCTGAATGGTCCTCACAGTTGGAGAATTTTGAGATGCCAGAGGCTGTTCATGTGATGAACTTCTGAGTCCAGTCTCTTTTTATTAAAGACTCCTGTAAAGGATTCTTGCATGGAGCAAACATGAGCAATTCTCCCCTCCACCCTCCTCTCATTTTTTTTTCCATTGAATCCCATACAGACAGGAAATAAAGAAAGCACCAAGAAACAGGGGATGAAATCATGCTAGTGAACCTATTGATCATGGTGAAGTATGTGTTGCCATGATGAAGAAGAGGATGCAAAAGCCATGGTTGTTTTGCAAATGCATTGCACAGAACATCTTCCAAGTGAGAATATAAGTGTGAAAGGAAGGATTGAAAAGAATAATTTGTTCACGTTAAAATACCTGTAATGGCCACAATGCTTAGGGGCTTTGTTTGGCGCCCCTTGGCAAAACCATAAAGCATAACCTCATAGCCAATGCCAGTAATAAGGCCTTTAAGCTTCAGATGCCGCTGGGTTCCTGTAAGGAGGAACTCTTGTGGGTCCAGCAGCTTGCCAGAATCCACCACGATTACTAGAAAGTTGTCAAAGGCATTCTCCGATGCCATCCAGGACACTGTGAACCCATAAGGGTTAATGTCAGAGACAGTTAGATTTTCCAGTGGGGGCATGGCCTCTAAAAGAAGGGAAGGTGCAAAAAACACAAAAAAAGAAAAGAAGCGAAAAATATTGCAAGTTAAACAGCGTCATGGAAGCCACCATAAATCAGTCATAAATCTCCCGCAACCCATAGGATATAATGGAAATGCATGACCAGCACAACAAAGGAGGGATTTTCAAAGGAGCTTAAATGAGTTAGATGCCACATTCCCATTTAACATCAGTAGTATTTCAGCACCTAACTGTCTTTGGCCTCTTTGAACATCCTCAACATAAGTGATTAAACACATTTATTTAATTTCACATGCACACAGTGAATCATAAATAATACAGGCTTAGAAGTTATTTGGATAATTTAATAAAAAGCCTGATATTTCTCCTCCTGCATCTAACTTTGAACCACTATCTTTTGCTTTTTCTTCCAAGGATTGATCCAGTAAAATTAGAATTAAGGTCATTGGAAGCATAAGTTCTCAATTACCCAAGGATTATTTATTTGAAAAAATGAACTTTCACTAGATAAAGTTAGGGACTAATGGCTTCAGATCAGACTACTTACCTAGTCAAAATTAATTATGGGCAACCTTCCCTTTTTATGTCAACAACTTAAAGGGATTCCAGTATAGATTTCCCCTCTCCCTGATAATTTTCAGACCAAAATATCCTTAGTTTTAATTGAAGGCATTGTCAAGAGTGCAGTTGCCACTGAGCATTAAAATAAGTGGCTGGATTTTTCAAAGAGTTCATTTAAAAATATGCAAAATTTGACACTGTGAGCTGGTGAGTACAGAGCTTTTTTTTTTGGCTTTCAGTTGTCAAATTCTTGCCCCAGTTGTCCCATTTTACTCCATTCATAAAATCTATCACTCCTACAAGACTAAGCTTCCATTTACTTCAATGGATATTTAAAAAGAGTGTTTTGTTCTGTTTTTTTTAAGTAACATAACACGCTTCTGTTGGAAAAGGCAAGTTAGTCAAAATTAAACTTTTATGCAGGAAAGAGGTGGTTTTGACAACTGGTTTGAACTGAAATCAAATAAAAAAAGTAATAAATGATCGTTATAGTTTGTTTCAATATTTTTGAACAAAAATTCTGGCTTTCTGGTTCAAAATAACTTTCCTTTTATTTGAGATTTTTAATAAAACTTTTCAATTAATCTGAACAGAAAGTTATTCAAGACTTTAAAATAACCAAAAATGTTTAGATTCTATCTTTGGAAAAAAAAAATGGAATCTGTAGCTGAAGTGGTGCTTATGTATGGAGGAGTTTGTGGCATTGATTTTGCTTTTTATTAGTCAGCTTGTGATTTTAATACAAGCTGAAGATGTCTATAGCAATAGGTTGCTGCTTTTAGGTTTTGCATAAATCTAAATGAAAATGAATTCATAAAACAAATACTTGGTCAACCAAAGGCCAATTTGTGAAGGGCCAACCGGTGAGAAATTACACAGGACAGCTCACTGACTTACTGAGATAACTCATGCCAGTAACTGCTGCTCTCCAATATGGTTAGTAGAAAATATTTGATTTTCTGAATGATTTACAAAAAATATTTTCTGCCAATGCTACTCAATAGTAACAGTAATGGGTTTTCAGCTTTACAGGATATTACTACCAGTTCAAAAGCCTCAAATAGGCTCTAGAGCTAAAGTCCTGGCCCTTTGAAATTTCACAAGTCGCACAGAAAGGAGCTGTCAACCTCACACGCTGTCAGGACTACTCAGTACAACTGAGCCTACAAGACAGCAGGAATCTTAAACAGGCAGTGCTGCTCTGAATCCCAACAAGTGCAATAGATTAGATTATTGGCCTTGTGATGCCAGTCACATATGCTCATTTGTCTACCTGACCCTGCTGCACACTTTCTCTGGGCCTCCAATACTGAATGATCTCTTTAAGTGTCAACATCATTATGTGATCTGAAGCCACTAAGCATAGCCAGCATTGCTGGAGCAGATACTTTGTTACACAGGGGAGCAAAAGAGAAAATTCTGTACTTTGCTCCATGGCAAAATACATTTTAAAACAATAAGTAAAAAAAAAAAAAAAAGAAACCAAAAAGAACCTTTAAATGGGTACCTGTCATGACAAAAGCAGTGAGGGGCTCTGTGTGGACACCTGCACTGGTGGTGCCCTTAATATTAATGTCATAGCCAGTGTAATCTACCAGGCCTGAGATGTGAGCGCTGCGGGCACCTCCCGAGACTGTAAGCTCCTGAGGTTCATGTGCTGAATAGGAATCTCTAACATTTATAACAAACTTTGCAAAAGGCCCATTTCTTGTGGTCCATGAGAGGTTGAAGCTGTCGGGGGTAACGTTTGTGAGTGTTAGCGTGCCCAGCTGTGGCTCAGCCTCTGAAGGGAAAGGAACACAGGTGAAGAGAAAGCATTACTTAGCGAAGAGCTGTGCTAATAAGCAATGGAGGGTTATGGCTGCTTAAAGCTGTGTCTGTACTGCATTGTACCTAGCTTTTAGCATCTGTTCTGCAGCAGGTAATAGAATGACACACTGGGTATTCATAACAATTGTTTGATGCTGGTGGTATAATTTCAATGGTATTTTATCTTGTTCTTTTTTTTTTTTGTTCTATTTCTTAAGAAAACTAGATTTTTAAAAATTATCTTCAGCCTGATTTACAGAACTGCCAGACGCATGCTGCCCAAGTGAATTCAAAGGGAGCTGGCAAACGGTCAGCACCTCTGGGAATGAAGCTGTGAGGCCCAAACACACAAAAGCACATAGGCACCTCAAGTCAGCCCTCTTCTCAATATGTCCTATTGGCTAGTTTAGGCAGCCAAGCATTTTGGCTATTGTGGGTTTCAGTGTGCAATGTCTAACTCTCCCCCTGTATCGGACTCATGTTGTAGGTGCTTAACTCACAGCTATGGATTATGGTAGAAGCAAAACACCTACATGATAAATTCTGTAACGCGGAGTGGTGCAGCATCACTAAGTCCCTTTGGGCAATGACCAGGAATATGTACCAGGACTTTATTTTGAAAAAAACAAATCTATTAGATAAAACAAGGGAGATTTTCATGCATAAAAGTCAGAGAGCTTCATGCAGAGAAGTCAAGAAGGTCAATATCATTATCCCACCAGTGGGCTATGGGGACAATGAGGCTTGGGGTATTGAAGTACAGTAACTTGTTTGGATCACCCAGCAACTGGTGGCAGAGGAGATTACAGGAATTCATGTAGGATGAGTTCCAGTCAAGGACCTTTATCTATTTAGCCATATTATTGAATATTGAATGAAGGCCATTACACACTATTTTAGTCCTGTATTCTTCTGATGATAAAAGCCTTCCTCATGCACAGAAATGTCCCATGTATTGATTTCATCCTCAAATTGAATATCTTGAACTGGAGCTAAGCCATTTAGTTTATTTTTAAATAAATCAATAGATCATTTATGGAAACCCCTTTTATCAAAATGTTTTGGGACACCTTGGTGAAATGGAATCAGTAATTATTTAGGGGAGGTAATTCTATAAGCGATTCACGCTGGGGAAGATAACAGACACATGCCAACGAACAACAGAACAACTGAAGAACAAAACTGTATTGATAACTGAAATAACTGAAGTGCTGCAAAATGTTCCAGAACTGATTCCCCCACCCAAGATTCGACGTAAATGATCTAGGAGAGAGTTTGTCCCCCCCATTCCCTAGTCCAGGAGCAGGTGCATCTAAGTGCCCCCAATTAAGGATGCATGCTGGGTCTGTCATCATGCTGTCATCTAGTGACCAGTAGTGCCAGCATGGTTGGTAATGACATTGTCACTGGGAAAGCTTAGTGCTTCTGAAGACTGGGATGCAGAGGCAAACAACTGTAGATGGAGAATGTAGTGATACCAGACATGGACCCCTGCATGCAGGTTGAAGAGAACAATCTTTTCTATCCCAATCCTGAAACAGGCACATTCCTTCACATGCCATTTGCATCCATGTCAAGCAGGTCCATATCATGGCACCCAAATTCCAGGAGTTACTACATGCAACACAAGGTGAAAGTATCTCTCCAGGCAAGGTTTAGTAGGATCCCAATATTCTGGAGTCACCACCAGCATTCAGAAGGGCTCTGGCATTCAGTGGAAAGTACTGAACTGTCCATTGAAGACTCACCAGCAGTGATGTAAGTGATAGAGTGAGAGGCTGATCATCAAGAAGGAATGGACTTCTTTTTGATCCCAGCTCTTTACTAGTGGGGGGACATGAAATATGCCAGGCAGAGAGAACACTCTTGGACCAGCATTAGATAACTGGATCACTCCATGCAGTTCCTGTTGGTGATTCAGCATGCCACAGAAAACAACAGTAGAGAAATGCCAATGCCATAAGAGACATGTGACCTTTACAAACAAGGAACCAAAATGGCATGCAGATGCCTTTCTGGTAGGACAAAGAGAGTTCACGCTCATGGAGGGTCACAGGCAAATGAGGATGGAGGATATAGAATGAATGTCAGTATTATTTCAGACCAAAGGCAAAGATATTCCAGAGAAAAATCTTCTGGACCAAGTCAGTTATATATATATATATACACACACACACACAGAACTTGCAGATAAGTGTATATATAAAGAAACCAATCAGAGGTTTACTGTGTTGCTCCCTTAATGATGGGGACACTTTTTCAGCCTTTCCCATGGTCCTAGATATCCGTGCTTTAGAATGGTCTTGCTTCAGCTCGTTCAACTTGTTCCCACACTAAAGAGGGTGGCTTAGATGAGAAATGGTGATGTCCGACCAGAGCCATGTTCTAGAGCAGCTTAGAAGACAGTGGAAGAAACAATAGAAAAAGCAAACCTTGAAGATGAAATACCTGTAGTTGCCACTGCTGTCAAAGTCTGACCACTTTGCCCATCAACTAGACCATGGAGTTGGACAGTGTAATTAGTGGCAGCTCTTAGATTGGTGATTACAAAACTTCTTGAAGCCCCTGACACTGTGTGCACCAGGGAGTCCAAAGGCAAGTCAGAGTTTCTGACTTCTAAAACAAAGTGATCAAAGGCAGTGTCCTGTGCTTCCCACGTGAGAGACACACTGTTTGAGGTAGCGTTTGACACAGTTAGTTTGCTAAGGAGAGGTTCATCTACTATAAGAAGAAAAACAAATGGACATGTGTTGCAATTATTAAAACACAAAGTAAAAGTAAAATGAAATAAAACAAATAAAAAACACTAATCGGAGGTGGAAAAAAGACTTATTTGATTATCTAGCCCTGGTGCCCCTTCCCCATTCTATCCCAGCCACAGCTGAACCAGACTCACCCCAGTTTCCTTTAGCAATATAAGGGCAGCTTGGCCATGACCCAGTGACAGCTCTCACAGTCCCCAGGTGGACAACTCCAAATTCATTTAACTTCCCGAATGCAATTCTCCACACAGAAAATATGGCTGTTGTTGATTTAGTCACAGATACGTGCTACTATGCTAAACCATGCCTGATTTCCTAAAGTTCGGCAGATCTTTGTGATATAATCATAGCAGGGGTGGAATCAAAATTCCTCACATTTATACCTATCTTTAGATGAAACACCTATTCTTTGCTATCCCTGATGAAATACAAGTGGTATTATCTGTATAATTTCTCCCTAGGCTAACATAGGCATTGTACTAAGAGAGAAATTTGTTCAAGGAACCAGAAACTGTGTCAAAGGGCAACAGTTAATATGGGTGTTAAATAGGGGTGTGCAAAGCAGGCCCTATTCGACTTGGATTCAGATTCAGCCCGAATCGGGGACAGTGATTCAATTCGTTAATTTGCATCACTCTTCCTGATTTGATTCGGCTGAATCCAAAAATGAAGATTCGAAGCCGATTCAGAGAATCAGCAATTCGGACACAGAAACAGCTTTAAAAGTTTTTTCTACATACTTCGAGGTATCAGCGTGACTTGAGATCGCTGCGATGCTGGGGCAGATGGAGCATCCCACAGGAGCGCGGGGGGCCCTCCACACGCTCAGCAGCAAACCTGGAAGGGGACTGGAAATATTTCTGGTCCCCTTCTGGGTCTGCCAGGGAGTGCACTGCCCCCCCCCCGGTGCCCCTCCAGCTCAGCAATCAGCCACAGGGGGACCCTGGGTGCCCCCCAGACTCAGGAGGCACCAGTCACTGAGCTCGGGGGTGTGGGGGGCTCCCTGCACTCTCCCTGGTGGACCCAGAAGTGGACCGGAAGTGCTTCTGGTCCACTTCTGGGTCTGCTGCTGAGTGTGCTGGGTAGCCCTTTGTGCTCCTGTGGGACAATCTATGTGCCCCAACATCACAGCACTCATGAGCTGCGCCTTGTATCTAGAGGATGTAGGAAAAACATGTAAAGCTGTGCCTATGTCCGAATCTTTCCGAATCCCTCCAAATCGATTCGGAGGGTTCCAGTTCAATTTGGAGAGGTTAAAGGGTCCTCTGATTTGATTTGGATTTGGAGATTCATCCATCAAATCGGGCCGAATCTCCACCAAATCAAATCAGGGACCAAAGCCTTGCACAGCTCTAGTGTTAAACTATTGTGCAAGATGCTGTATTCCTACCCTGAGAGGACATCTAGTAGTTTTGTAATTGGCTATCTTACTACTTCCAGCTTTATGCTATCATTAATCTAATGGCAGATTTCCTTCTTTCCTTTTAGGGTCCTTGCTAAGACAGGACCAGATGTGAAACTTCAGGTTGTACTAGGTGCTAAAATATAAGTCCATACCTATTCTGAGTGTCAGTATGGGCCCTATGCATCCTTTTTGTCCTACAGCAGCAGTTATTTGAGGTCTTAACTGGAATTAAAATGGTACATTTACTTTGTACAAGTCCACTCACAGCTTGAATTTCACCTGAAACCTATTCAAAGCAGCAGCAAGGGAACTCCTCCACCCCAAAACAACCTATAGCTACTACAGCTTCTTATTCAAGAGAAACAGCACCCCCTAAATGCATCATAACAGATACAAACATGTCACAAAGCTGAGGTGTTTATAGAAAAACATCACCTCAAGGCTCAATTCTTGAGATGACTTACTGAGTATCCCATTTTCTCTGAAGTTGTCCCTATTCTGATGGACTTGAGCAAGAGAAAGCTTATTATTTCTGCTGTGAGTGAGCTCATCTCTCATGGTTATGGATGCCTCTCCCTGAGTGGGATCATGGTTAAATGTAACTTTAATTTAAAACATCTCCCATCACTCTTCATCAGAAGATGTGAATAAGGATAAGCTGATGGGAAGCTGGGTGGGAGAAGTAAGGTCAGGGAAAAGGGATGGCCCTGTAAGGAGAAAGAAGAGTTAGAATATGAGGTAGGTTTATATACCTGTAGTAACAGCAACACTTATTGCCTGTGTGCGGAAACCAGGAGTGATCCCATAGAGGTAGACAATATAATCAGTGCTGGGGGATAGCCCTGAGATATGAGCAGTTCTTAAATTGCCTGAGATGTTGTACTCCATGGGCTCCAAAAACCTGTTAGAATTAATAATTTCAATGGTAAAGATCTCGAAGGCCCTTTCAGTGGCTGTCCAGGAAAGGTTGAAGCCTTCTGGAGTAATGCCGGAAACGTTTAGCTCACCAACTTCTGCGCGCATTGCTGAAGAGGAGAACAAAATTAGTTAGAATTAGATACCCCTTTGAATTCCTGATGTTCAGAAATGCTCTTCTTGCATACATTGCTTCCCATCTGCCAAAGCTCTAAGCTGACCCTGGAACAGAAGGTTCAAACAGCAGCTTGCTGCAAGCCAGCAGTAGCTAAAGAGAAGCAAGTACAGAAAAAAAAAAAGGAAAATGTCTAAAATTGCTGCATAAAAGAAAGCTGCAAGGCCATGGCGATTTTCCATCCTTTCAAGAGCAGACATGCATCCTGAGATCTGAGCATGAAAGCAGATGTGAAAGAACAACACATTCCTTCACTCTTTTAAGAGAAGTTGAAACTTGAGCCCTTACTTTATCAAGGGGGAAAGGTTGTGTTTCATTTTAGCTCTTCCCCACTCCCTCTCAGTTTCAAGAATATGAAAGTTGGCATGTAATCCTGGAGCTAGAGCCAAAATTTGGTGCTATGATAGCCCCCTTGCGGTTTCCCTCCTCCCGTACACATCCCTGATGCTCTACATAAATGCTCAAGGAAGTCTCACAATAGGAAATCCCCAGAAAGAAAACGTCTTAAAAAGCCAGATGTCTGAGTTTGACCAGGAAAGAGGTGGGAAATCCTACAGAGTGTCCTCTGTTATTTCTCTTGAAGTAATGTAGAGACAGAACATAGGCCATACTTAGGCAGGAAACTGTAATGTCTCTTTTCTTTGTAGATCCATAATGCTTATTTTGTTTTCTTACAGCAATCGTCTACGTATTGTGACTGGAGTAGAAGCTGGGATCACCCCATACTCAGAACTCCAATGGGAAGTTTTTAATGCAGGACACAACCCAAGGCAAGCGCATCATGTCATAAATCAATCCAGCCAGTCCAAGCTTCTTAAAGCGCCATTGCAACAAACAAGCTATACATACCCTATCTTTTAATTAGTTTTAAATTCTCCTGTGTAGATTTAAATGCTGAATACAATGTACTCAGAAACCGCAATTAAGACCATGCTTGAGCCATCCTCCAAGCCAGAGAAAAAACTGCAGCAGATTGCAAAGGGCTTACGGGAAGCCCAGGTTCTACATGAAACAGATCATTAGCACATCTGGGTGAAGAGCCACTGTGCCCCAGGTATTGTCATTTGGGAATGTGAAATAGAAAGTCCTATTTCTTTCAAAACATTCTGTGTGTCTAAAAGTGACTGTCAAGTTATGTGTGTTATTGAAATAATGTGAACTTCTACCATAACTACAAAGCCCAATAAGGCTGGAGAGAGATATCCCTGTGTTATAGCTAATAGATAGCAACTGCCGCCCACTGCAGGTACAGCAGTAGATATAACAAATAAAACACCTAAAAGGTGAGGATGAGGCAGCAGATCTAAATTGGAAAGGAAATAAAATCAATATTCAACTGAATAGGTAGAATATGTCATCTAGGCCTGCTTTAAACGAGGGCTAATTTATTAGAGATCTGTGAATCATTACAATAAGACTATTTTTTATTTACAAAAGATAAGCTTGAATTTATCCAATTTATGGAGCATTCTTGAGGCTTTTCATATTCAAAATTCAGATCTGAATATGAAGGTGGTGACTTAACACTCTTCTCTGCTTTCTATTATATATAGTGTTTTTTATTATATGTTGTATTTACATCAATGAAAGCTGAATGAATAGCAATGAAGGTGAAGAGAAGAGTCATAACATTATGGTCTAGATTACAGATCATTTTATGCAGTTTTTGGTTCTTGATGGCCTAATTCTCATCTCTGACACTCATTGTATACTAGCATAACGCTGTTATCTTTAGTGGAGTTATTCCCGATTTACACTACTGTCAGAGCAATGGGAGGACAATACTGTTACATGCAATATTAACAAAGTTACATGTTTCAATGCATGTGATTGGCCTTTGAAAGAATTCATCTCCATCTTGGTCTACTTCAAATACAGGATGTGGAACTAGAAAGGACTCCCTGGGTTATTGAGTCAAGTACCTTGCAGACAACTTCCTCGTATAATCCAGTTAATAGACTTATCCATATATTTTGTGCATTGGTTTGGCAATAATTTTGGAACATGAAAAACACAAATGTTTGCTGTTTTGTGTACTGGGCCTATATAAGTGGGTGTCCATACCTTTCACAGGACACTGTGTGATCGTTCTGATCATGTGCACTACAGAACTGGGTTTTGTAATTAGCACCGTCAAAGAAATGAGTTAAGTATGCAAAAAAAAAAAAGAATAAAAGAAAAAGTAAGAAACACAATTCTGAGGAAAAATAGGCCCTTCTTAAAGCAAATGACATCATGGTGGCACTGAGACTCTTCCTGGAAAATTTGATCAGGCCAGAGGTGTTCAGCTTTTTAATTACAGGCACCCATGCAAAACTGACCACGTGTATAAGCTCTCACATCCCTATCTTCAAAGAAGAAAGGGACGTGGAAGTGGATGAATGATTTAGAAAGGGTACCTGTCGTGGTTTCAGCGGAAAGGGGTTTGGTCCTGTAGCCCTGAATCACACCATACAGGGTGATATTGTAACGTGTGTAATCCTTGAGAGCAGTAATATTCACAAAACGCAGTCCCCCTGGGACTGTATGATTCTGAACTTCTTCTGGATTGTCAGACTCCTGCACCTGAAGGACAAAAGTCTCAAAGGCCCCGTCTGCTGCTGTCCACGTGGGTTGGAAACCATCCCAGCTAACCTCTGATACTGTTAAATTTCCAAGCTCAGGTTCCTCCGCTGAATAAGGACAGAGAGTCAATCAGTTACTGCAATTACAGATTGATGAAGAAGTGGTGTTACCTAGTAACGTTCCATGTTAATGAAATTCATTTGCAAGCAGTTATGTACAGATGAAATATTATGCCCATTTTCAAATATGCCTACCCTTGATGACTCTTCATAAAGTCTCCTTGAGAGACTTGGGACTGCAGAGCAGTATAATAAGAAAAAACAATAATAATAATAAACAATAGTCATATTAATACTAAAATATAGCACACAGAAGGCCATTTATATACATATTTGGAGCCGAAAGTATTTTACTAACATGTAAAAAGCCTCACCATAAGGCATGTAAGTATTTCAATAACCATTTAACAGCTGCCATTAGTAACTCAGCAGTTACCGCTCTGAAGTGATTATGATACTGCAGTTTTTCTTATTCTAAGGTTAAGAAGAAGCTTTAGCTTTTGTAGTTAATTGGAACTGTGACTTTTGTGTTTCAAATGGTGTCCACTTGGAAAATACCATTTGGTCTTTATAAATGAATTTCTAATGCAAAATGATACAGAATGGAAAGTGTTCCCTCTGCTCCATCACCCTATCTTTAGAAATAGATTATTAATAAATACTACTTTGAAGTTTCCCAAGATCTTAGGGTAAGTCCTGGGGACAAATACGCTGGATTTTTTAAAGGAATTGTTGCTATTATGCTAAAATAGGAATTCCAGATGTAGGCTATAGAAAGCTGCCTGTATTGAGAGAATATGACTGATTCTTTGAAACTGTGAAAGTCCGCAAAGGAAAAATGATAGTGCAGTTTGCTGTACATATAATCTATGGTTAGCCTCTAAATTTAGCCAGTTCCACATGCCTCCTTTCTTTTATTTGCATTGTTGAAATCAACATACAATATTAATGATAGGACCTGATTATTCAACCACTACTCAAACTGCTGCATACTTACTTGTGTCTGCTGTTGCACTGAAATCAAAAGACCTGATTTTTTTTAAACCTGATACACTAGGGTCCCCTTACAATACACTCGGCATGTCTACACATGCACATGTACTGCATAGTACGGGCATGCGTCTACATGCGCATGCCTCTGTGCACAGTAAATATTGCAACTTACACTGTCTTGAGTATAAATTTATACCTAGTTAGTTACTGCACAATAACACACATGTAGACACTTTACTGTGCAGTAACACTGTGTGTGGACTGACTTGGGACTAACTTTAGTCCCAAATTAGTCCACACAGCATTAACACACTTTAATGACTGCATGTGTAGATGCCGGCCTATTCCTGTTTACTGCACAGTAAATTTAAGCCAGCATACATGTACGTATAGACATGCCCATTGGTTGTAAGATGGTTTATTTACACCATTTCAAGGCAGTGTAGTGTAAAGGGGCTCTAAAGTACATAAGAATAAAGCTCAATGCGATGAAGGGCTAACTCCTATTTTATCTTTACGTAACTAGAATGGCACTTCCAGAGCCATATAACTGCAATTTTTGACACACCTCACAAATAAGGGTTGAATGTAGTATGGGTAAGTATGTTTTATAGGGCCTAATTTATATAGCATGAGCCTAATACTCAGCCTCCAGAGCTCACATTACCTTCACTGGATTTATGGATGCTTAGGCCCTATGCCGTTGTACATAAAAGCGGTATCAGTCAGCTCCACCAAACTCCCAACTAGCTCCCTCCCACCTTCCTGTAACCCTGAAAAAGATATTGTTGTACAGAATAACTTTTCAAATCAGTGCTAGTCAACATATATTGCACAAATCCACAGCTGAGCTGTTTTAATAAAAAGCAGAAACAAGGCTCCTTGATATCTAATGGAAATGCAGTATAGATAGCACAATTCAGCTGGAAAAGAGAAAGCAGGATGAAAAGGAGATGGTTGCTTCACAAGTTAAAAACGTTTTATGGCTGTGTAGGCAATTAAAATAAGACATTGCTTTAAATCAAAATAAATCAATATTAGAAATAAGTGCAACATTGTTCAAGAAAAAAGAATACAATGATTATTGTCAGTACTGCAGGTGCCATGACAACTTAATAGCAACACAGACTTCCCTGAATTTAACTTTCTGCATTTCTGAATGGAAATTGAATCACAAGGATCCTTTCCCTTTCAATTCCCTTTACAAGGTCATGCAGGTCTGATGTGGAATTGCATCCAATCCCCATCATGCTGTCCCATACAAAACCATGCACTGCACCTGCTCAAAAAGCCTCATTGATACATGACAATAGAGATGACGATGATGATGTGGAACAGCATATAAAGAGATGATGTTACTTAGTTAAAAAAAAAAAAAAAGAGTGAATACATCATGGAGAGATGAGACTGCTCTAATCACTTCCTGGCCACAGTTTGTATGCTCCTGTGCAAAGCCTGCAACTCATACAATGATTTTGGTACTAGCATGAAATGGGAATGTTGCTAGGCTATTTGCTATTTTTTCCAGCTTCAGATTTGAATTGTGGCACCTGCTCATTATGTATGCTACCTTCTGAGGTTACAGAACTGATTCCTGTTGCTATTGTATTGTTCAAGGAGAAATGCATGTGCTAGAGAAAGATAAGGGGATGTTTAAAGACACAGGAAAGCCACACTCCCCATGTGTTACAATCTTTTTTTTTCCTTCTCAGTCATCACCACTTCCATGCAAACACTGCCAGAGGCTACCTGCTTGATTCTTCCTTTTGCCTAACTAGCAATCCAGACAAGTCCCAGTAACATCCTGCTATTTTCTCATACCTTTTAAATAGCAGATGCATCAACTTCCCTGTCCACATGCAGACTGAAAAGGGACAATCGATGCTATGTCACTTGAAAGGCTGAATGAGAAACTGCCCATGCTAGGTAACTCAAAGTTCTCATTCCAGAGCAACAAGAGTTTTATCCCATGCAAAAACCCCCACAAAAAACAACCTTTCAGAAGGAAGCCATTTCTTATGAAGCCAGCCTGACATTTCTGCAATGGAACAGTAGTATGACATGACACCCTGCATTTCAAAGCAGAAACAAGAACAGATGGCGAGCAAAATCCATAAAAAAATACCTGTGTTGGTTATAGCTTCCAGTGACTGAGACAGCTGACCTCGAGCACTTCCATGGAGGTTAATCTGGTATTGTGTGCCAGCTGTGAGATTGGTAAATTCTGTTTCTCGTTGGCTTCCTGGCAGAAAGATTTCCAGTGTTCTGTTTAAACTGGACAGGTCTTTCAGAGTGATAAAGAACTGATCAAATACCTCATCTTGTGCTGCCCATGTTAGGGTGAAACTACTGAATGTCCTGCCTGTTACTTTTAGATCGTGAAGTTGGGCAGTGACATCTGAGATGAAAAAGGCAGTGGGCGCTGACAGAACAGTGTGAGAATCAGTGCTTGGAATTGTTAAGTAACTTAGCTCAGTAGGTGCAGGGTAGGTAGAATTAAATGAAGTTTCATTGTTTGATTCTCCAGGTGCTGTCACTAGAAGTGCTAAACAAAGGTAAATTACAAGTTAAAATTTCCTAAGGAAAAAAGCAAAGACACTAAAAAAGCCTAACATCTGAGAAAACTAGGTTCTGTATTTTGCATTACAGGTTTTTAAATACAGAGAAAGCAGATGGCAAACTGATTGTTTGGAGACTGAATCCAGGTCAGAGGTAGCATTGCAGAGGTAGGATTACAAAGCTTAATGTTGTCCTGATACACGACCGCACGAGAACCAGAGCACAAGCCACTAGGGGTAACAATTCATGGATACTAGGTTTCATTAGTGATACCGGGACATATCCTCAGCTGATGTAAATGAGCACAGTTCTACTGCCTCAAAGGAACTTTGCTGATTTATATATGCTAAGGATATGACCCTAAATCTCTTCAGCATGCCTCTTATCTATATAATATGTCAGCTAACACTACTGATGCAAACCAGAAATGGAATGCATGCTAGATATTGCAAATATATTGAGATCCAGATTACAGGGTTGGGTGCTTGACTGGTCAAATAAAGTTCAGTCAATTGACTGGTCAACTATCAGTCATCAATTATAAAAAATTGCCAGTGGATCCAAGTAATACACAGAAAAAGCACAAATTTTCCATTAAGAAATGTGTCAAGAAGCTATAAAAATAAATCATATTTATGTCTACAAAACTACAAAAAATGTAGGCCTTTTGTAAAATTGCTATAATCTTTGACTGGCCAAAAAATACGCAGTCAATTGACAATATTTAACCGGTCAATTGAACAGCTTGACAACCCTACCAGATTGTGTATTCAGCTACAAGAGAAGCATGCTAACTCTCTCCTTAACCAAAGAAAAACAGACTTATGTGGTTGCCGATCTGTACACATGCGGGATTCTAAAATAGGAAAAAAATAATAAAAGTTGATTCATCTTTCATAAAATAGCTTTTATGATACCGGCCGAGATGGAACTGTGATGGCCCTTTGTGAGAGTTTACATGCTATCTATGGGTCATGCGATCTATGCCTTGTTCCATAGTCAGATTCTGGAAATCTGAGAGTTGTGCAGATGAGAGAGAGCTGGTACTGATCAAAGCTGGTAGGCAACAGACACACATTACATTCCTGAAACTTTAATTAGTCATGCAAAACTATTTCCTTATTAGTGGACTAACCGGATCATTTCATACTCATATGGCAGGCCCAACGTTCATGTCTTGATGGCGCTCAATTAAAAGACAGCAAGTAGCCTTCTACCATTAGTCAGATCAGCACAAGTACATACCCTAGATTCAACATCTGTCTCCAAACAGACACTTGTGTATCACAAAAAAAAGTTTTCAAAGGAGAAAACACAATTAAAAACTTTTTCAAGTAAAAACAAAATAGATATCAAGAAAATACATTTCTAGACAAATATTTATGTAAAAGCACTGTTTCTGCTGAACTTCAACAAAATTAGAAGCCTATGGGATGGATTCTATCACATATACCAATTCTGTATCAATGACATTCTGTTCTTGATTTAGAGAAAATGTCCTAATTTACTCTGGTGTGAAAATGGGAATTAGGGCCTATATTTAGTACAATATGAATAACGTAACTTCATGGTCACAATAGCACATAGAATACAATCTGAGTGATTGCATTAATTCCCTCTTTGCCAATGAGGATACTGTTATAGCTGTTATCTGACTTCAGAGTCACATTACTGTAACATCCACAGAGGAAACCGTGCAGTACCTAAATTTTAATCAACTGTATGTAGACTTCACTTGCAAAATCAGCAATTTGCCAGCAGATGACATCCAGTTCTTTACTATTCTAGGCATAGTAGAAACTGAAGCATCAGGGAAGTATGCTACTAGTTGGCAAATGCTGATTTAATGCTGATCTTTTTACATACATGCTAGTAGCTATCATGCATTGTGGAGTACATCCAAGTATATACTCATGCATACATATAGTATCCAGACCAGCTGAAATAAAAGGGTAGCAAAATTAACAAAAGGATACAGCTCTATGATGCAGACACTTCCAGTGGAGAATTGTCATGCAAACTGAGCGGAGGGCCTATTGAGACATGCTGAAAAGCACATGGAAGAGGAAAATAAAGACTGCTTTTACATATTCCAGAGCATTTACAATCACAAACTTAGTGCTGTTCAGTATTTGATTAAATTTAAAATTTTGGTGAAATTTAAAAAAAATAAGATGTTTTTGTAAATAAAATTAAATCTCTCCCATAATTTTAACCTACCTAAACACTGATCAAAATTCCCAAATTAATGCAATAAAAAGGGATGAATTTTGAAAAAAAATTCACTCCACTCCCTTGCCTTTTATTTGACTAGCTCTAATGTAAATAACCCCAATTCTGCTTGGTGATATTATTTACAAGCAAGAACTTTGTTTCTCATGAATGCTACTATTACAGGGAGAAAGGGTCATTCCTCCACTGAGCCACCCAAATGAGGGTGAGACCCTCATTGGTAGCACTGGAATACTTGATCTTACCATTATACATGGTTAAACATATTCTATCGGATTCTGCTGCTTAGTTTAATCAATGGGACTCTACTGACTTCAGTTAAAGTTGCAGGGAATATATCTACATTGGTAGATTTTTTTCTAATCATTTTTACTGCAGAAATGGCTGGCAACCATAGCTAAGGATTTAATTATTTTATCTAAGAAAGGATATAAAAAAGAGAGATGAACCCTTCTTGAAACCAATGCATAATAGCCCCCAGCATACATTAATTTAATGATGTGATGGGATCTGATCCCAACAAACCCACCTTCTGTCATGATGCACCTACACGGACGGCAAGACACACAATGTTGGGATTGAGAATCTGATTCCAATCACAACATTACTATTTACCAGGGCAGGGGATCCTGGAATCATGATCATAGGGAGAGACTGGCTCCCCTGCCCTGGCAAGTTGAATGCTGGATGTGCACAGCCTGGCCTGAGCTGTGTGGTCCCAGGGCTGGGACCAACAATCAGTTAAGTGTAGGTCCTATCCCTGTGACCACAGTGGGGCCAGTCCCAGAGCCCCATGCTCCAGGCTGTAAGAAAACCTTCTGTGGAGCCTAGATGCACACACAATTGTTTAAGGTTGTGGTGCTTTGGGGTCCTGTGACCACAGAACCTTTTCTCAGTCCCAAGGTCCCCATGTCTGGGATGTGTCAAGTGCCTTGTTTCACCACTCCATGGGAGTTGTGGGGGGAGGCAGTCAGCCTGCTGGGTCATTAGATGAGCTCCCTTGACTTGGCACCTTGAAAACAGTGGGGGGCTGCACTACATAGCTGCCACATTGCCAACATGAGGAAGCTGACAACTAAGCCTTGCCATGTAGCTGGGATTAGGCTACATGTCAGGAAACCTGCCACACACTCCTTTTAAGGTGCGATGGAAACCAGCTACAAACATATTATGTACATTTGGTGGAATATTTTTATGCTTGGTTTCCCATTTTGTTATGCCATTAAGTGCCTGAATGTGTGGCCAGGTTACTATTTAAGACACAATTAACAGGTTAATACCATCATAAATATAACATCTCCCAGGGGCCATAGGAAACATGCATGGTTTCATATATAAAATATAACAGATAGAGAAATTAAAAAATATCAGGACACATGAAAAGTACTCAGGTACCATAGCTGATAAATTCTATGGATGCTAAACAGATGAATAACTGGTTGAATGGCAAACAGCTAATCTGGAAAGTAAGAGATGGCTGGATAACAAAGTGAATGGGAATCAGACAGCTAAATAAGTAACAGAGGTGGTTAAAAAAAAATCTAAAAGCTACAGACAGATGGCTGAGAACCAAATAGAATGATATATAGTATAGAGATGAATGAACAACAGATGCACAGGAGTTAACAGCCATGTGCAATGATGCTGGATGGACAACAGATAAATGCTCTTTCTCAAAGTGGAATACCTGTATTTATCATTCTGTCATTAAAACTTTTCAACCAAAGTATCCTTTTGTAGATATGGCCTGTATTTTCCCACATTGCTAGCTTGAGCCTTCCAGAAGAAATTCCATTACAATGACTTGCTGGCATTTTCACTATACAAATGTTAAAGTGCTGCCAGGGTATTTCCATGTCTATGTGGAATAGAGGGGAACAAGGAGGTGTGCTTTCCCATTATTTCTGGTTCTTTCTTTGGTAATTTATTTTGCTGGGTAGAGCTCTCCTATCAACCCAATGACATTATATGCCTATGGCTTCTCAAGGTAGGGGTTCAGCATTATCCTCGAGTATGAAACCTCCAGCCAATTTTGGGAGTTCCATTGAAATAACCCTCTTTTGATGATTAAGCTGGCTTTACAGTGTCTTTGCAGCCTTGGTGCTTCCCAAAGAGATGATAGTTAGAACAAGGGTTTAACTTACTGGGCACGTCTACATGAGACACTGACTGTACAGTAGCCACATAATACTGTGCAGTAACGCGTCACAGGATGGACAGTGCTAATATGCTATTGCATAGTAGTGTCACTTCAAAGATGTTTGCTGGTGCTATTGCACAGTAATTCTGGTTACTGCACATTTATTTAGTACTTGATTATACAAGTATGAAATAAATGTACAGTAACCACTGCACAGTAGTGTCTCATGTAGCTGCATCCACTGTCTTTTTTGCAGCTTAATATATTACAGTAGTCCCCATTTAAAATTATTGTACTGATATCTGAAATGCCAGCTACAAGCCATTACTTAGAAGAGGATACATGCAGTATTCACTGGCAATTTAGTTTTTCAGTGGTAAACCACTGTAGCTTACTATCAGAATGAGTCAACTGGTCATTGTTGAGGGGTATCAAAATGTTACCTTAAGTTTGTGAAAGGGGTGACAAGCCATGCCAAGCAGTAGCCATAAAGGAAAGGAGGACTGAAACAGAACAGAACAGGACGAAAACAAGGATCCTTAGTACGTAGAACGAATCCTCTTAAGGCATTCGACAGAGTAGAAAGCTATCTTCTCCAAGCCATGCACCTGTTCAGCACTTGATATGCCAGCTCTTATTTTGCCTTCAGAGACAAGGCATTATCACATCCAAGACTCATCAGTAATTTCTGCACAATCTGTGTTCCATTGCATAGGAATGTTAAGCAGGCACTTGGCTTTTCCAAAGTCCTTTCATTTATTTCCACATGCCTCATGCCTGATGTATTACTGTCCCTCCTCCTCCAGGATCTCCATTGTGCCACTCAGGCAGTTCTCCAGAAATGGAGCAAGGAGAGACAAAGATGCAGTCTGACTGCTCAGTTTCCTCAAAACTGGGTTACGTGGTTGAACTACAAATTGAATGTCTGCCTCAAGAAATGTATTTGGAAAGCTATGCATTTGAAGAAATGGCCTTTTCAAGCTCATAAAAGGCTCTCTTAGCCCCTCTCTCTGCTTTACTTCTCAGGTCGTTCTAAACTAAAAATGCAATGTAGTCTGGCTGTAGTATCCAATAAATAGTAATAGCCCTGTTAAGGAACAGAAAGGGCGTACCTGTTGTAGCCACAGCTTCCAGAGGATGGGAGCGCTGTCCTCCCGCCATTCCATACACCTTGACTTTATAGGTGGCGTTAGCCTGGAGGCCATCAATCACAGCACCTAAGGATTCTCCGGGCATGAAGACCTCTGCAGGGGGCCCAGCTGCCAATGTCACTTCCTCATACTCCACCACAAAACTAGTATAGGCTCCTGCATCCGCCTTCCACGAGAGACCAAAGCCATGGTCTGTTACATTGGAGACCAGAAGGTCCCACAGCGTAGCCTCCCACATCCCAGAAGCCTCAGGAGCAGGAGAGCTCCAGAAGCCTGAGTGCTCATCTGGGCCAGGAGTTGCTCCCTGCATTAGTTCTAGACTATATACAGCTATAAAAAAACATGTAAGCAGAAGGTACAGAATGAAACACTTAATTCCTTCATTTTTTTCACTTATAAAACTCGATGTATGTAGTATTTCACATTTATGACTTGACTTTGAATACCGTCATTCTGGGCTTCAACACTTTTAGCACCAAAGCAGGAATCTCTACCACTTCAGATAAAGAACCAATTCCGAGAGGTAGTAGGAAGAGAAGACTGCTACTCATGTATGTGCCAACCCCTCAAAGAGTATGACATCTTTTGCCAGTTTGTTGCATGAAACATAACTTCTTATTGCTTGTTGCTTCCATACTCAGCAAGGGGTAGAAGATATGAGGGAGAGGGGGAACCAGCCAAACATATATACAGTGTATAAGAAAATAATGTTGTCCACTCTAAGACAGAAGGAATCTCTATCTTACAGGACTTCAGCAAGAGAAATGTTAACACTGGAAACCAAAAAATACCTACCCTGAAAAAGAAAACTAAAAGCTCCCTGAATTGTGCAGACTGAGAAGTCCAACTGAGCAGTCTGAAATTTTGGGCGGAAATAGAAAATCTACAGTAGAAATATTAGTAAATAAAAGGAATTTTGCAAGCAAATATTCCCTGCCAGAAATGGTGTGTGAACTATAAAACCCACAATATGAATCTGGTTCCTTTTTGGTCAGTGAGGAAGAGAAATATGTATAGTGAAGGGTGCGTTTGCAAATTATGTCCATTGTGCTTCCTCCTTACCGATAACATACATAGAGGATACAAAGAGGTAGTCCAGTTCTAGTCATGAGCATGGTACTCTCTACCTTCATTAGTTTCTCTCTGACCTGGAGCTCAGAGGAAACACTTCCCCCACTAGAGAAATGGATCTGATGTCATCTATGGCTAGAGGCAGAATGAGTGAAATAAGACTTGCTTTGCTTGTCCTGAGGACTGGAGTTTCAAAGCAGAGTTGGGGATGTGGCCTGGAAGTTGGAGTAGAATAAAAAAAGAAGCAGCCCCATGTCTCTCATATTCTCAGGCACTTGTTTTAGTCTCCTGATGCTTACGGATTTGGATGCATCTGTCCAGGGAAAAATCCTGGAGATAGGTTCACATCTTAGATACTGCTGCTGGAGAGTCTCTGTTTATAATGGTGGCTTTCAGAAAAGGCTTAAAACAATATACTGGTCTGATGGATATAAAAAAAAATCCCAAGCAAAAACGGAAAAGGGTTTGGGAGATTTGGCCTCTGATGCTAGAAATTCCTAGCTAGGGAAATTCCACAGTATGATATTTAAATGTTTTCACCTCCCTGTGTATTTCCTGTGAGCATCTGCAGAGTCTTCAACAGAAGGGGAGAGAGAACCCTGGAAAGGTCAAAGCGTTGTTCATCTCTGGTGTATAGACCTTTATTTAGAGGGTCTCTATCAGCGCCTGCTAAATTTTCTCCAACTCAGCTCCTGGCCTGACTTATCATACAATTAACTTATCGTTGATCTTTTTTTTTTTTATGGCGTGTAGTCTATGAACTCTCAGCTGTCTGAAGCAGCTCAACTCTGAGGCATTTATAGGCACAGCTGTCATGAAAATTAGTATAACAAAAAAGTTGGGTTGGATTGACTTTGTGGCACAAAAATAAGGCTCAACCCCTAACTTAACTTTGAGTCTTCACACAGCCAGGACAATAGTCTGTTGTACAGTATTGCTAATTTGTGAAATCATGGTTTATGCAGAGCCTTGTAGTCTAGAGGGCATAAAGGACATGAAGCCCTCAGGCTCAGATCTTCTGCCAGTGTTAACTGATTCTATTCCATGGATTTCCACCATGTTTCAACCCAATGCCAGCTGAGGCTGTATCCCATGGTATTTACACATAAACACCCTGAGAACATACAGCACTCAATTAGTTTTTATATTGAAGTCTTTAGTTTGATGCAGCCCTATCAGTGCAGCATGCTTATTCACTTTGCACTGTTCCATAGTCGAGGAGCAATGCCACCATTTTCGGTACAGTCGCTGGAGTACTGCTTCACAGCACTTCCTGTGAATAAGGGAGGCAGAAATAGGCTTTCTCTATTTAGACCATTGTAGTTAATCATGGTATACAATGGACTCAGGCAACTGTGACTAGCATCATAATATCAGCTTGTCTATGCTCTTAAATAATAAAATAGGAAGACAAAAACAGCTGTGTTGACCCTGCCAGTGTGTGATGTGTGAGGTGGCCAGAGACAAAGCTGTAAAGTAAATTGATTAGGGGGAATAAAAGAATGGTAAAGAATGCATTGTCATTATTTTAGTCCTCCTTCCTCTTTGATTGCTTTACTACAGGAAAACAAAATCAATGATTAAATATAAACACACAGAAAAATTAGTCTCTTTGAAAACAAAGGATGAGGTTTTGCATTCCCGGCAGAAGAAAAAGCTATGTTGTATGGATATCCTTAAGGGACAAGGAAGAAAACCACAAAAGAGATGGAGAAAGAAAAGGAAAAGGATAAGGGACCTGGATGATTCTTCCTCAGTCTTCCAAACTGGGCCAAGGTGAACAAGGCTTTTACAGCCAACTGATGTATTTTAAGCTGCTTACCAACACCATCTTGGAAAGCAAGTGACATGTTGCTTGGACTGCCAAGCTCACTCAACTTTTCAAAGGATTTAGCACAGTGCATCCACTCAGATGCTGTTACTCACCAGTAGAACTTTTGACAGTTGTGGGTTTGCTTTTATGCCTGCCTTTCTCTGCTATCAGGCTGGTGGTATATTCTGTACCAGCATCGAGTCCTTGCAGGATGTAGGAGGTGCTATCTGCTGGGATCTCTACTTCATTCTTCCTTCCAGAGGGGGTAACATAAGTGAGACGGTAGCGATCAAACTTGGCCAGTGGTCTCCTCCAGCTCAGGGAGAGGCTAGTTTCAGTGGGATTGTTGACCCCCAGGTCCTTGGGACTATCCAGGTCTAGAAGTTAACACAGTGGTTACTTATAAGTAAAAAATAAATAAAAAAAATAATGTTTCCTTATACAGGAGCTTAGTAGTGCCATGGGGCATGATTTCAGGAAACATAGTTATACTTAGTGGCTTAAACACATTCAGGACATAATGATAAATCAGAGCCTGATTTCTCTTTCTTTGTCTTCCAGACCATGCTCTTTGGCCTAAGGAAAGGCAGGCAAAGCTCTATCCACTTACACACAAAAATGGCATCAAAATCTCTGTTGCTTTAATTCATTTCAACCCAATGCTTCAAAAGGTCAGATGCCACCTCTCATTTTTATGGATGAGAGGTGGCATCTGACCCTTTGAAACATTCATGTTTTTGGAATTTTTCTAGAGCCCTAGAGTAAGGTGTCTGACTGGTTAAGTAAACCCACTACTAACATTTTCTATTAATTGTTGGAGTCAAAATATATGGTATTCTTGTTGGCTGATTTTCCTCTTTGTTCCCTAGCAGCAACACTTTCCTTTTAGTGAAGGAGACACTGCATGCGGTTTGGTAGGAAGTTTTTCCCCCCCTTCTATCCCACTAAACTTTGAGACTCCAAAAATGGTCCCAACATGCATCGGAATGAAATCAACACATCTGTAAAATTTTCATGAGAAAGAAGGTGGTGAAAAGAGAACATCAGCAAGCCCCAGAGCCCAGTTGTTAAAGCACTCTCTGAGGGGATGGGATTCTTCTGCTCTCCCATTATTGCATGGCAATACAATGTAGTGCATGGCAGGTGAGTCCAGCCATTAATCTACTAACTATGCAGGGACCTTTCCCACTCTCTGGTTTTACCAGAAATTTCATACTGGAGCCAAGCAATTTCTTTCAACAACAGCTTGTCGAACCTGCCACACTCCTAGGAAAAGTTCTGGTTTTGACAAATCAGCAAATTCCAAACTGAGTTTAAGTATTGGTTTTTAAAGAGGAACCCTCAAGCCACTCTAGCTTGCCTTGTTGCTTCCTGACAAGGAGCTACTTACCAGTTCCAGCATTAATAGTAGCAGGAGCACTTTCTGTGTCCTCCTTCACTGCTGTAACTCCAATGCCATATTCAGTTCCAGGCCTCAAACCTATAAGAAAAGGAATACAAATATGAATTGCTATTTATAGATGGTACTAATAGTTTTTTTCTTAAAGAAAGATGCAAGATGAAGGAGTGTTCATTATTTTCTTTTCTTGTAAACATTAAGGGCAGATTTTCAGCCAAGTCTAGATCAGACAGGGTATCAAGTTCTACTTGTAAACCCTTACTAACCATGATCTAAGATGCACCTTCTCACCTTGCTACTGTAGGTCATGGTGAAATGAGGTTAGGTCTTCAGATAATTATTGTTTCAACAATCTTGCAGCGATCCTACCTGTGAGCGTAGCCTTGGTTGTGGCTTGATTGCTTTTTGGCACAGTGATCTCAGCATGGTCTCCACCTGAGATTGGGGCAAACTTGACTCTGTAGCTATCGATATCTGCTTGACTCTTTTTCCACTCCAAGGTGATGCTGTTGTCTGTCTGAGACACGCGCTTCAGGTTCTTTGGAGCATCCAGATCTGTGAAAGGAAAAACTGATTTGTTTTCTTGTAACAGGTGAGAGTGAATGATGCTTTCATAAGCTCAAGGCTATTGCAGTGCAGTCTATGTGGGGCTGTTCTCAAAAACCATCGAGAAGCTGCAGCTGATGTAAAACACAGTAGTCATCTTTCTGAGTGGATGGGTGGGGGTGGTCATCAAGAGCAGATATCACCAGGGACCCTATCTTCAATGTTTTCCAATAGCTTTCTGGGCTCAATTCAGGGTCCTGATTTTATTTATAAGGCCCTAAATAGGCTGGACCTATTTACTTAAAAGACCACATTCTTCCTTATATTCCATGGTGCTCCCTAAGTTTAGCCAAGACCAGTCTTCTGCAGATATCATTTCTACACCAAGTTTCTTTGGCAAAAGCACATGGAAGGCCCTTTGCAGCTGTTGCACTTCAGCTCTGGACCCAACTGCCCCATGTTCATTCATTTGCATAAGCCTCTATAACTGATGTATTGCTGTATTGGTGTAGTACCTGGAGACTGACACAATACAACACAGTTAAGTAGTATTAATGTGGTAATGATTACTGTAGAAAACCTTTTACCTGTGAGAAAGACTTCACTCATGGGGTCGCTTTCCATGTCTCCACGGCGGGAGATCAGCACCACTTCATACTCTGTGAATGGCTTCAGATCTCCAATAGAGTACTGGTTTTCATCTTCAGAGAGGTCAATTGTTGTCTTGTCCCCAGGAACATCCTTGGGGCCATATGTAAGCTCAATGCCATCAATTTCAGCCAAGGGTTTGAACCACGTGATCAAAGCAGTGGTGTCAGTAACATCTTTTGCCTCTATCTGGCTGGGAGCATCAAGCTCTGTCATAGGAAGAGGAAAAATGTGAGTTTTTTTTTTTAATCCTATCTCATGATGATGTCAAATGTTGTCTGAACTTTGACCATTAATTGCTAAATCAAATCAAAGTTAAAGCAAGGGATTTCTGATAGCTGGAGCTTATTTTCATGCCTATTTCCTTATGGACTTTAACATTCTACTGATGTAGATTGAAAATGGTAAATTCAGCCAGCCCTTCCCTGAGCCTAGCACGCTGGCACAGCAAAGACAAGCAGCAACCTCAGCAGGCTCTTTACTTGCCAGAGGAATCCTGTGCCAAGTAACTTCAGTGTGGTATGTCAGGGGGATGTGGATGCTCCTTCACATTCCTATATTCTGAAAGGATAAAGGGTATGCTCACACATGGCCATCTAGAAAAAAAAAATCCTTTCCTCCACCAAACAGCCAGTCAGGGAAGAGATCCATTTTGTGACTCTTACATAAGCTTATACAGTTTTCTTTATGTTTTCAAATGGTTCTATTGCTGCTAGTCTTGTCTTTTTTTTTTTTTTTTTTTTTTTTGCTTAACATCTTCAAAATCTTCCCCAAACAGCAGAAAGGCACTTACTTGTGGTTATCACCTTGGAGAGCCCAGGTCCTCTGGTATTGTTTTTCACTATATGCAGAGATACATTATACTGTTGTCCCGGTGCTAAGCCTGGCTGCATATATGATGTCTCAGGCCTCGTCAAACTTCTGGTTATGTCTCCATTATCTTCCTTTTTCTGTAATGCAGAAGACAACTAGTTGGAATAAAGCAAACAAAAAGCCCAAGACCCTTCACTTGTAATGGAGACTTCACAGTATTATCTGTTTCCTTACCATATTTCGGAAGATAAGCTCCCATCCATCAAAAGAAATGTTCAGAGGATCCCATTCTACCTGTACAGATGTCTCCCTAACCGATTTAAATTTCAGGCCTTCTGGAGCAGGCAGATCTGTGACAGAAAAATAAGGTGGCAACTGCATGAGTGACAGTATTGCCACAAACCAGAAAACTACACATCCACAAACACATCTGATAGACAGACAGGCGGACATTCACTTACAAGTGAGTTGTAGTAGGAGACGTTGAAGATATAACACAAGGACCATCTTAATATTAGCTACAATAGTGCTGATGAAAATGCTTTCAGATTTACTTGGAAGAATAAAAATGATTTTACACATAGAGTACAATAGCCTTAAAATTTCATTTGTCATGCAGGAAAACAGGAATCCAATGATATTTCTTGGAAGGCACCATGCGGAGCTAGAAACTTCCAGTACTTTAATTTTATCAGTCAACCTCAGAAGAAGTTGGAAAAGAAAACTGAAGAGGCTCTGGTTTGGTCCAGAACATACAGGAAATTATTAGTGAAGAAAAATAAAAATAGATACAAGCACATTAGGAAGCAGAGAAATGGAGAAACATAGAGAATAGTGCCTTGTTTTATTAAACTCACAGGTTGCTACCCTAGCGCTGATTGGAATACTTTTCTTGTTCTTTAAGATGGCAAAGACACGGATAAAGTACTCCACCCCTGGCTCCAGTTCACGGATTGTGGCAGATGTCTGGTTTCCAGGCACTGTGAACTGCATATCTAGGCCACCGATACTGGTAGGAACATAGGTGATGAGGTATTGATTGACTAGATTTTCATTCTTCCATTCCAGATTGACAGTCTTATCTGTCACATTTGTTACAGTCAGGTCACTTGGAGGGGATACTGCCAAAAAGGAATAAAATATGCTTTTAAGACATAAAAGGTCAGTGTTGTGAATATGCTGACTTGCCCTATTACACTAATTCCCAGACAGATATTTATACAGAACACCATTTAATAAATAGGCAAAGCCATTCAAACAATTTTGTGTGTTGAAGAAAGACATATTTACTGTAATGTAGATAACAGACAGGCTTGGAAAGTACAGGCCATTCCTACTGTCACACCACATACAGCCTACTGTTCAACACGTTGTACTACGTGTCTCCACTGTGTAGGAGAATAAAATGTGGCTTATGTCTCTTTCAAACGAAGGTGATAAGGAATGGGAAATACGATGAGTGGAACAGCAAAAGGTATAACACCCCCCCACAGGAAAGACTAGAAGTTGTTTTACTTAGGAGCTTTACTAAAAATAAATTACTAACTCCAGAAAAATGGAAGTGATGGAGCCAAGAATAAGCCCATTCCCTGGTTCTCCCTGGGATGGAAGTAAACAGAGGCCCTGTGCTCATTTATTCTTACACTCCGAGTCCAGGTTGCTTGCAAAATGGCAAAGAAGATGTAGGTGTGCTCTCTCATTTGTGAGCTAGCTATGAGTCTGTCATCAGTGGTACATATCACCAGTTAGTGTTTTACCCACCCCAAAATCCACTCAACTAGACTTTTGAACCAGATTTCAGCTTCCTGTGTGTCTCATAATATATTGTGATAAAGTGTAAATGGTAGTAAGGAACTAAATGGAAACTTTATATCTAAGTTACCTCTCCAGAATTCCTGCCATTATTCTGGCTCCCTGATGAGCCCAATAATCTAGATCAGCTTTCGGCAAACTTTTAAGGCTGTAGGCCAGATTGACCAAATTTGGGTCAGAGGTGGAGGGTGGATGCTAGGACATGGCCTCGGCCACCATTTTTCCCTGCAGCAGCAAGGGGAAGCAACTGCTGCCAATGCCCCACATCAGCGGGCTGGATCAAATGGCTCTGTGGGCTGAATCTGGCCTGGGAGCCACAAGTTGCCGACCCTTGACCTAAATTAAAAATTATTTACACAAATAGCCAAATTTTACTTTGATTTGGAAAAAATGGCTCTGGGCACCTGAAGACCAGTAAGGGAGATTCCAAGCTCCAGGAATCCAGAAAACATTTGCTACAATATTTTGGACATCTGTGCCCATTACTGTGAGTTCTGCATCATTTTCTGACTTTAGCAGGTAAAACTTATTTCACAGAGGAGCTTTGCAGAGAGCTTAGCACCTTGCTTGCTTCCAATTTGGTCTCTGATTTCTTAGCTACGGTGCCTGTTCAGGTTGCTTTACTCTCAAAGGACAACTACTTCCAGATGAAATCCCAGAGTCTGTCATATCTTAGTGCCAAAAGAAGCAGAGCATTGCCTGTGTTCTGCTTTGTACTACTGCAGCAGTAAATATAGTGCGGGTGTACAACTTCACTTTCCCAGTCCATTTGGAATAAGAACTGTTATAAAGGCATCCTTAATCATGGACCTTATGCTCAGAAACACATGAAACTCAGAGTATCAAGCCCTGCAATCTTCATTGCATGTTCCATAATTCGTAGAAGTACATCAACTTTATTTTTTTGCAGGCCAAATTTATCTCCATAGTTCTTTTAAAAGCAACCTCCTTGGCCAATCCTGCTGCAGCCCTACTATTAGGTTTCAGGTTCACTTTATGTCCCCCAGGGCTGAGCCTAGTTCTTGCAGATACAATTATAGGCTTTCCCCAGTACAGCTGTAACAAACGTAAGAGAAAAAATCATGGGAGAGGAGAATGAGTGGTCAAGGGGCCAAACTCTCAGCAGTTATAAACTGCTACTGCTCCAGTGATGTTCATGGGAACATTGCCAGCTTATACCAGTGGAGAAACTGGACCAGCTAATACATATCTATAGCACCAGAATTTCCCTACTCTTGGTAGGTTAACCATCAAAGACACACATAAGGGTAGGTTTTAGAGCCATGAGCCATAAGGGAGACTAAGCTTTGCTTTCACTGCTGTAACCCTACTAATCAATGAAGTTGCTGAGATATACCACTTAAACAAGGTCAGAGTCTGGATCCAGCTTCATTAAAGAAACTGCCAAATAAACAACAGAGTCATTGTAGTTGGCTATAATTAACATTAGAACCTACCATCAGAGCAGTCGTCGCCAATGTATCCATTATCACAGATGCAACGTCCATCAACACAGCGGCCCAGGTTGTTGCAGTTGTTGAGGCAGGATCGTTGGCTGCAGTCCTCTCCAGTGAAGCCCTCATCACACACACACTGCCCCTCAATGCAGCGTCCCTGATTGTTGCAGTCATTGGCGCACCGTAGTTGGCTGCAGTCAATCCCTGTGAAACCTTCGTTACACACACACTGTCCGTTCTCACAGCGGCCTCGGTTGTTGCAATTGTCCAAGCAAGCAAGTTCACCACAGTCCACTCCAGTGAACCCCTTCTCACACAGACACTCCCCATCCACACAGCGGCCTCGGTTGTGGCAGTCATTGGGACACCTCAGTTCAGAACAGTCTTCTCCTGTGTATCCTTCATCACACACACACTGCCCGTTGACACACCGTCCATGTTTGCTACAGTCATTGGGGCACCTCAGCTCACTGCAGTCGTTGCCTACAAAGCCCTCATCACACACACAGATGCCTTTGACACAGCGTCCCCGGTTGTAACAGTCATTGGGGCACCTCAGCTCACCACAGTCTTCGCCTATGAACCCCTCATCGCACACACAGTGCCCCTTGACACAGCGTCCACGGTTGTGACAGTCATTGGGACACTTCAGCTCACTGCAGTCTTCACCCATGAAACCCTCATCACACTCGCATTGTCCATTGATGCAGCGTCCATGGTTGGAGCAGTCCTTGGGGCACCTTAGTACACCACAGTCTTCACCCATGAATCCCTCATTGCATACACACTGTCCATTGACACACTGCCCACGGTTGTTGCAATCTTTAGGGCACTTCACTTGGCCACAGTCGATGCCCTCAAAGCCCTCATTGCACACACACTGCCCATCAATACAGCGACCACGCTTGTTACAGTCCTTGGGGCACCTCCGCTCACTACAGTCGTCACCCACAAAGCCTTCATCGCAGAGGCACTGACCATTCTCACAGCGGCCATTGCCGTTGCAATTGTTGGGACAGGTCAGCTCCCCACAGTCCTCCCCAGTGTAGCCCTCTTCACAGTAGCAAGTCCCATTGATGCAGCGGCCACGGTCAAAGCAGTCATTGGGGCAGATCAGTTCGCCGCAGTCTTCACCTGTGTAGCCCTCATCACAGACACACTCATTTTCAACGCAGCGCCCACGGTTGTTGCAGTTGTTCAGGCACAGGGGCTCACCGCAGTCCTCCCCAGTGAAGCCTTCAACGCACACGCACCGCCCATTCACACACTTCCCATGCTCACTGCAAGGTGGTAGGCAAAGCTCTTCAACACAGTCTTCTCCGGTGTAACCCTCAAAGCATACACACACACCATCAATGCACTTGCCTTGGTCATTACAATCACCAGGGCAGGTGAGTTCGCTGCAGTCCTTGCCTGTGAAGCCCTCATCACAGATGCATTTGCCATTAACACAGCGGCCTCTGTTGTAGCAATTGTTCAGGCATTCTGGTTCTGAACAGTTGGGTCCTTTCCAGCCAGGGTCACAAATGCAGCCACAGATCTCAGTGCTGTAGTTCCCTCGTCCACTGCAAAAGGGTGTGGTATCCACTCGACCTGCATTAGCGCATCAGAAACCTTGTTACAAACAATGAGCTACAGCATGTCACAGATTACACAAGCACTGCTAAGAGCACTCTGGCCCCTAAAAAATTGATACTCTGGTCAAATAATGGCGATGAGCATCTGCTGACTCCAGTGACTAGAGTTACCTTTCCTCTTGAAAAATAAAAATAATGAGAACAAAAATGAGCTGGTACCACTACACATGTCAGTTCATAGCCAGCTTACACACGTGTCATGTAATAATTAACTGTTGGGTAAACTTCAAGAGGTTTGGTTGGGATATGCACCCAGAAGTTTTAAGATTTCAACACTTCTTGTTTAGGGTTGTCCCAGAAATACTCTGAAAATAGCTCCTGACACTTCATTCCATTGCTCTTATAGGAGATCCCAGCCAACCCCAACAAAAGTAGAGGTGCATAACCATTGGGGCTGTGGGGGTAGGAACAAAAAGATGTAATAGCAGGAAATGATAAGAAATAGAGTAACATTTCTGAATTTTGCCTCTTCTGACAGCCCCAGTGTTTGTGCCCCCAGCTTGACTCATCTGATAGGGATTTGATTTTGACAATGTTGATGCCCAATGGTTTCTGAGAGAGATCTGGCTTTATAAAGACATTTCAAGTGAACACTGTTACATACCTATTTCTCTTGTAAACTTTAATTCACTAGGACCTCTTTAATTCACACTAACAACAGGGAAATTCTGTTGCTAATTATCACACTTTGTAGATTAGCCTGTATGACCATTTAAATGGTTGCATCTATGCTGTTACAGCATCCAATGCAATTTTCTTGACTGGCCCATCAAAGAGATTCATTTATCATGTACCACACACTGATTCTATCTCTGCTTGAGCAACCATCAAGATATAAATAGGATGCTATATAAAGCACTACATTATAGGCAGAAGAGTTTTTAGATGTACAGTAAGATGCATTGCTATTGTTATTTTCTCTCAGCTTCCCTGGATGCCTGGAACTTCTGTTTCCCTTGTATCTGTTTGCTCCCATTGCCCCTAGCTTATGGTGTATAGACTGCTGTATCTCTTTACTAAAGAACAGTTGGAAGTAAGAAATTTGAGAGCTTTCATTGTCAGTGTTAAACTGACAGCCTGTTCCAATGGACTAGGCATAGGACCGGAAGCCAGGAATGACTGAGTTGCAGTCTCAACTCTGACATTGATTGGCTGTGTTGGCTTGCATGAATCACATACACACTCAATGCCTCGGTTACCGCTTTGTAAAGTTGGAAGAATAATGCTGGCCTGCTTTGGGGAAGTGGGGAAGTTGTGAAGATTAATTACAACTTCAAAGTGCTGTCCAGAAATTAATTAAAGAACTATACATTGATGGATTTTAGGCAGTTCCAGTGAACAGACCTCTATATTACATAAAAAGGAACATCTGGGGCCAGAATCTTATAAGGTATGAAATAGCCTAGCTCTGTATAAATCAATAGAATTATTCCTTCTCAGACAAGGTAAGAATTTACCTTTGTTTCATCTGAGGATCTGAAAGCTCCTTCCTAGCATTTAAAAAAAAATGTCACCTCCATTTGAGTTAGATATATTTTCCTATTCTGCAGATGAAAAGACCAGGATACTGTGATTGAAGTTATTTGTCCATGGTCACAGAATGAGTTTGTGACATAGCCACAACAGAACCATTGCTCCCGATTTCCAGCCCTATGTCTCTCTCATCCTTTTAATAGTCACCGGAGATGCTCTGAGGTGGTCTGGAGAATGTACTGAGTAGTTGCAAGTCCTACTGTAGTCAACAGGAGTAGACTGCTCAACCCAGCTCAGAGTTAGACCCTTGCAAAGATTGCTGACAATCACTAAAAATTCTAATTTCTGGCTCTCCCCTGTGCCCCCCACCATATAACTCAAGAGAGACTTCAGAATTATATGGAGATCAGGAGAGAATTAGCTTAGAACGGTATCAGTACAGTTGCCTGCTTGAGGTCTGCAGTTGATCCAAATCTTCTAGTTGCAAACTAGTAGTTTGCAACCTGGTAAAAAAAAAATCCCCAGCTTTGACAGAACTTCAAATCTGATGCAGGAACACATTGAATTTTTAATTTAAAAAAAAAATCAACTCTAGTATTTGTTCCAAATAAGATCTGCAGCCAACATCAGACTTTATTATGAAGCTGCTCTATACTTATCCCTCCTACCTTCTGCTGTTTGGGCACTGGGGCAGCAGCCTGCACCAATGGTACACTGCTCTCGTAAGGAAGATACCAGCCCCTCCAGCTCCTCCAGTCTGTTCAGCAGATCCTTAATATCAGGAGCAGATGCACAGCCACATGCCCGCCGAGGAATATTAATGCGATGCGTGAAGACGATCTGGTTGTCCTCATTCACCGTGTGCTCCTCATAGTGCTTGCTTGGCTCAATCTCAGCCTTCAGGTCTGCATCTCCACTAGCTGAATCCAAGTCCACAGAGCAGAGGGATCCCACAGGCAACTTAATGTTGTAGACATGGTTAAAAACTACAGGCTGATTATCATCTGGCAAGGTCACATTTAAACCAGCCTCCCGCTTTTGCCGAATAATTCTCTTGATGAGTCCACCACTGACATGCTGGTGTAACAAAACTATGATTGCACAGGCCAAAACCTGAGTTGGGAGCCCCATTGTAATGCTCAGTTTCTTTGGGACTCACTTGGTGCTCTAATACTGTTTTGCTTTCACAGTCTGGTGTAGAATTAAGACAGCCAGTTCAAATGAAGTTGGGTATTTGTTCTTTTCCTGATGTGCTTGATCCCTGCAACAAGAAAGTTACATAGAATAAATTCCTACTATACTTCCCAACAAAAATCCATGATCCCAAAGTATGTCAACCTCCAAGCAGAAGTGAATAGTGGTGCTCATTAAAGTAGGATCTGAGTAGACTCAAGCCACAGAACATGTATTTAAATATTAACGTTGTCCAAAGCCTTAATAAACTTGCTTCATAGCACTCACAGGAGGGAGATAAGCATTATTATCCACATGTTACTGGTGATCAAATTGAAGCATGGATCATTAAGAGATTCAGCTGGTAAAGCAGACAAAAACAGGAACCAGCACTATTGAATCTAAGCACTCGTATGGTTAGAGGCCTGCAGGGAAAACCTTGCGAGGACAGGCTGAGAGACCTGGACCTTCATTTTCAGCTTCCGCAAGAGAAGGCTGAGGGGGGATCTTGTGGCAGTATACAAATTCACCTGGGGGCGAGGGGGGGGGGGGGGGGGCGGGAGGGAAAA